TATCTAGGGAGAAAAAAGTAAAAAGCACTTCAATCCCATCAACCAGAGATAATCATTCCTATTTACATGTCTACTGAAGCCAGTTCTTTAGCCCATAAGGACTCCACATGCCCAGCCTTGAGGCTCTACCAGACACCTAGGTAATAGAACCATGACTATGGGACATGGTGGTGCACACCTGTAGTCCCAGCTACTCAGGAGTTCAGGTCCAGCCTAGGCAACAGAGTGAGATCTTTTCTCTTAAAAATAATTAAATTAAAAATGGAACCATGACTCGTTGCCTAGTTGCAGAATCACCAAGGTAAAGTGGCACTCTGCTTTACCTCTTTAGACTCTTCCATTTTACACCTCTGAGCTTTTACACAAGAATGATGATCCAACCCTCAACTTTCTGTTAAGGCGCATGGATCTATATTCAGTGGACAGTTTAGAAGAGCTACACTTAAGCACTTGCCAAAGAGCACAATCTCAAGTTCACTGACACTGAATTTTAGCAAAACATTAGTTAAAGGATAGATATTAAGGGAGCATTGCTTAAAGGAACTTTCTACTGTTTCAGATATTCTCAAATTTAATTCCTGGTTCAAGACAGAGAGCAAACATCTGGGTAGATGGAACACATTTTTTAACTCTGTCATGTTTGCTTTCTTCCTGAATTGTGCTTTGGGTTGAAACTTACAAAGCTCATTGCAGTATGTGTTGTCAGAATGTTTTCAGACAATCATTATATCACGTAGTATCTTCTTCTTAAGAACAGCAGGGAGAGATAAATAGCTACTGGCTTCACTTTCAGCATTCATAGGCTGCTAGAAACCTGAAAGCCAAAGTTGGGGCCCATCATTGCAAGTGTAGATTAATATGCCTGGCCTTTTTTTGTTTCATTCTTGACTTCTTTTTGTGTCTTCAAACTTTCTGCTGCTTATGTACTACTTTAAATTTGTGCTATCTTGTATTTTATATATAAATAGTTATGAAAAATGCCCCATCCTCCCTCCAAAGTCCTATGAGATCTCTAGGTCCTACCTCCTTTTTTATATTTATAGACACCAGTACATTTCTAATTTATACACAGAGCTTTTTATCCTGTTACGACTTCAGAAAGAGAAAAGTTAAGTTTCTTTCATGATCTTATTGTACTAGGTTTGAGATGCTTGATGCTGCAAAGAACAAGGTACGGGTGAAGATTAGCTATATAATGATTGCCCTGACAGTGGCAGGATGCATCCTGATGATTATTGAGGGCAAGAAGGTAAGAGTGGGTTTCCTATTTATTTCTGTGTGTTCTCCACAAAGGATCTGCAGGACATCAGGGATTGACCCTCGTATTTATTCTGAGAGGAGGCTACTTTCTACATGAGATGATTAGAAACAAAACAAGACATTTTAGGAACAAACCTGGAATATCATGGTTGGGGATAAATAGCAAATCCTAACTTTGGCATTGGAAGGACTAAATTCATTTTGTATACTGTAAAAAAAAGTTTTTATTATCACAGATGTCATAAATAATGTGAACCGAGAAATATGACACTGGCATATTTAATAACCCTTTGCCTATTTATAAAGCACTCTCATACACGAGCATATTTATCTTCACTATAACTCATGGTGAGCATTCTTATCATGGTTCTTTATTTCAAGCTCAGCCAAACTAAGCCATGTCTAAGCACCATAGCTCTTAAGCAGTATATAGGAATACAAGTCTAGAAATTTTCGTTTTAACACAGATTATAATTAGTAGCTATCACTAATTGAATACTCCCTATATTCCAGGTACTTTGCTATTATTAATAATTTCATTTGAACCTTACAGAAACACTATAAGATAGATATTATTAGGACCTCATTTACAAATGAGGAACTATAGCTTAGAAAGTTTTAGTAACTTCCCCAAAGCCACACATTTCCCTAATGGCAGACCTACAGTGTGAACCTAGACCTAATTGAGGTGATAGTAAAATTGTTCCCATTTATTGAGTGCTCATTATATAGCAGGTACTGTTAAGCTCATTTAATCACCACAATAACCCTAAGAACCTAAGAGGTATGTTCTCTTATTACCATGTTTTATAAAGGAGGAACCTGGGGCTTAGAGATGTTAAATAATTTTTCCAAAGTCATATAGCTAATAAGTGACAGGATAAAAATCAGACCCAAGTTTGTAGGTTACCAAACCTCATACTGCATTATATTATTATTAAGATGAAGTTATTTTTATATTCAGCAGTGCTGGTCAAATTCTTATTTTAATACCATGTCTAATGTCACAGATTCCATGTGAAAAGAGATGTCTTATAACTATTATCAGATATTAAAATGATGCTTCTACACACCCACTGTTAGCTGACTTCCTTCTTCTCAGAGACTCCAGAGTAAAAGGAAATGAACTTTTGGCTCTCTTTAGAGTCTTGCAGTTAAATGGAAATACTGACCATTTTAGGCTGACCTCATGGGATTATGAAGGGGCAAGTGTGCTGACCTGGGTGAAGTTCTCTTGAAAACTCTTCCTGTCCCAGTTTGGTTTTTCTTCTGTCTCCCTTTTTGACCTCTCATGCATAGTCCTCAGATTGAAACCTACAAGAGCACGTGGACAGGACAATATGTGCTTCTAGAATTCCAAGAAATCTGCATTGTTTTTGTATACTTTACTAGCTGTGTTTAAATACTCCAGAAGCAAATTATTCCCCTAGGATCTCTTCTAGCATCATCCAAGGGTGTATGCTATGTATTTTAGAGAGTTTCTCTCCTGTTCTATACCATAAAATTGTAACATTTACCTTTTATATAATTTCCATTTCCCAGAAGTTGGTAAATGCTACTAGAATGGAGAACTTTTGAACTTAATGTGATTTGGAAGAAAGAAATTAGCCATTGTATGTTTTGTTCTCCCTATCAACTTCCCACTCCCATTCTCCTCCCCCTCAACATACCTAATTCTTTTTGTATGGAATTACACAGATGTAAGAAAATACCAGCCAAGGATACTAGTTTCACTTATTTAGTATGAAAGCCTTGAAACTAATCTGTTTATGTAAGCTTCATAGAAATGTTAACAGTTCACATACGGAAGGGAACAAGGGGAGAGGACAGTAGCCTCCCTCACTGAAAGGATGGAGTTGTAGGATAGGTAGCACTGGGAGTCATCAGTGGTAGTAGTTTTGGTAAAGTCTGGGATTCCCACAACTGAATGCTTTCGGTAAAAGAGCGAGAAGCTAGAAGGGTGTGAAAGGATGCAGATGAACTGAGGAAGGAGAAAGGGTAGCAACTAAGAAAAGTGAAAAGGGGAAAAGAGGGGTAAAAATATGAGAAGATATTTAATATAAAAAATGAGAGAAAAACAGGAAAGACACCGGAATAAAGTATAATGGAAGAAGAGGCTAAAGATATAAAGGGGCCAGAAAGGAAGAGAAGGAATGGTGTGGCCCTTTTTCTTTTATGCTTGAATGGATGGGCTACTGTTCTCTGAAGCAAAGGCACATGGAGGTCAGAGGCACATGGAGGGGACTGCTGTGTCCAGTGTCCAAGCAGCATACCACTCCCTACCTCTACAGCCCTAGTTAACCTGCTGTCATTAGTGAAGGTAATGGCATCCTCCCCTGATGGGCATAAATAATCACCTATTCAAATTTGTTTCACTTTAGGCTGCCAGAAGGAACGAGACTTTAACTAGCTTGAACTTAGAAAAGAAAGCTCGCCTGAGAGAGGAAGCAGCTATGAAGGCCAAAACAGAGTAGCAGCGGTATCTATGTTGGCTGGATTTTGAAAATGGAGGAATAATGCTGCAACAACAAGCCTGTATTAAAAAGAATTTGTTATGGGGATCCATTTCATAAAAGTATAGTTTGCACAAACTTATACCATTTCCCTATTTCTGCTATATAGGTACAAATAAATTTCCTTAAAGAATGACTTGTCTGTGTTTTATGGCTTTGGTCTAAGTAAAATTTAGCCTCTCAGCTTTTTGAAGAAAAATCAAGAGGAAAATTGAAACAACTTATTTCAACTTGAATATTAAGTTTTCTTTAGAGAAAACAAGTACCATATCTTACTTCTATTCCTGTGACCAAAGTGACTTCTCTCCACAGGCCCAAATGGGGGTTTCTAACTCTTTATTTCTCTCTCTTGTGTGAGGTCATTTCTGAAAAGATAAGAAAGGCCAGTTGAGCACACTGCTCAGGTACATCTTGGAGAGCCAGCCTTCCCAAATGCCATAGTGCTATTGGGGTGGTGGGCTCCCAAAAGAGAGAGCCCTGAGTAGCAGCCAAACCACACTCAGTATCTTCAGGCATGCTGGCAGATGGAAGCTTTTAGGAGAGCAGTTTTTGAAAACGTCCTGGCAAGGTGGTAAGAGTAGGCTGACTGGGAGTTTTGAGGACTTAGAAATCCCAGGATCATTGAGTTGCTTGGAGCCAGCACAGTCACCTCTTAGCTTCATGGCTTAGAAGTCTCAACTGGCCCTTTTCCTGCTGCCTGAGAAACTAAATTTCTCAATTATGAAAATATAATGTATTTTTTATTAGCACTGAAAGATAAGCATTTGTACCAAGCATGTATGTATCTCATTTAGTTTTGACTTTGGGATACTAAGTTGTCTCATATTTAGACATAGGTATAGGTTTCTATTTTAAACATTTCATTTATTCTAACATGCTTCATAAGTATTAATGGATGGCAAGTCATTACACTAGACCCCCCCTTACCCATAGTTTTGCTTTCTGTGATTTCAGTTGCTCAAGGTCTGAAAATATTAAATGGAAAACTCCAGAGAGAAACTATTCATAAGCTTTAAATTGCATACAGCTCAAAGTAGCATGATGAAATCTCTTGCTGTCCTGTTCCATCCACCCAACATCTGAATCATCCCTCTGCCCAGTGTATCCATTCTGTACACACTATCTGCCTGTTAGTCACTTACTAGCCATCTTGGTTATCATACTGACTCTCGCGGTATCAGGGTGCTTGTGTTCAATTAACCCTTATTTTACTTAATAATGGCCTGAAAGTGCGTTGTGCTATGCCTAATTTATAAATTAAACTCTATCATAGGTATGTATGAAAAAATACAGTATACATAGAATTGGGGACTATCCACAGTTTGAGGCATCCACTGGGGGTCTTAGAACATATTCTCCCAAGGATAAGGGGAGACTACAGCCATCCCAGTGTGCTAGTTCTTCTCCTCAGATAGTTATAAGAGAGATTAAAAAGTAATATATGCAGCTGAGAAACTATGAGAACTTAGTTTAATAAAATATGCAGTGAAATGTAACATACTACCCTGTAGTTTCATAATCTATCTAATAATGATGTCTGCCTATATACTTTGGAATAATTTGACCTTAGCTGCTTTTTTAGATATCAAGTTTTTTTATATTTATCATTTGCAAATTTATTATCAAAAAGCATTGCTTCTTGTACATTTTAGAAGATTCAATTATTTTAGGACACTTAATGCCAGTGTTTTAAATATGGGTAAATATTAATGTACTTCTTTTAAAAAAAATACTTCACAGAGCAGTACCATTTTTAACTTCTGAAGAACATTACAAAGTGTTGTTATCTCAGAGATTTACTGTAATAAAAATGTTTCATTAAACTAAGCTCACAAACGTTACTGTGCACCAAGAATTTAGTGATTTCTCATTTTGTGTCATTCTGCTATTCAGTAATGTATAGTGACTACCTCTTTATGGGTTAAATATCTATTTCTTGGCCAGAATTTCAGACCTACTCCTAACTAATACTACTTCTTCCAATATCCTCACATACCAACCTCTTAGCAGTCATCCCCTACAAGTAACTCTGTCATATCCCTAAGAACTTACCAAGCAAATCAAATTTAATGTATAGTATTACAAAGTACTATAATCTACAAAAGAAGACAGTTTTGCCCTTGTTGCTTTCAGTTAAATTAATGTTGTACTCTTTTTTTTGGCTTAATTTCTAAATTCTTTTTGCTTGTGTATCATGTGTCCATGGGTAAAGTGGGCAGAAATCATTTTCTACTTTATATTTCCTGTAAGCACTATTGAGTAAAGTTAGTATGTGAGGATATGGTTACTTTTTATTTTTAATCAACATGTTTTAGGAATCTGTTACTAAAATTTATCAAAAGCAGGCAAGGAATGAATAAAGCAGTGGTGACACTGTCATTCCTCAAACATTACTTGAATCCCTTTACTATACAAAAACCAAGAATACATAAATTCTCTATATAAAAACCAAAGAATACAAAGAGACATACTTTCTGATTCCACAAAACCCATGAAAGCATTACAATACAAATTGGTGAATAATAGAAATAGGAACACCTAACTCAGCTGTCAGCTGCAACTGGAGGCAAGCAGTGATGGCTCCACAAGTACTGATTTCTGAACTGAGTTTGAACCATGGGTGGGAGACAGTAGGTCGGACATATAACGAAGGAGAAAAGTTTTCACCATTCATTTAGCTTGTCTGAATAATCACAAGACAGCACAATCTAACAAGGTAGTGCGCAGTCCTTCAGTAAGCAACATTTGGTATATTTTTAGGTTTTTTCTTGATAAGAAATCTCCACCACCATCCCTGACTTAAGCATTTTCCAAACCAGAAACCCTAGAATTATTCCAAATGCCCTTATTTAGTCACCCCCTGTTCTATAATCTTAATTTCTAAATATTTCTCAAATACACTGACCCTCTAGGATAGTCACTGAGAAGACCCTAATGGGAAACCGTACAGGAAGAGAGACATGAGATTACTAACAGGCCTCAAGATTAGAAGTCAGAAGCTCTAAGTTCTAGACATCATTTTCCAACTGTTTTCATTTTGTAAATGTAGGTTATAAGCCTCAAAATCTTATAATCAAAGACAGATTTAAAAAGAAATATAAAACCATGCCTAAATTAAGAGAAACCACTTTTTAAAAAATTTTTTTGCCAACTTGGCTCTACTACTTGGTTTCCAAAGGGATTAATAGTTACTTATCCACAGTTTAATTGTTTTGTCATTTTCTAATGCTGCTGATGCAATGATATTATCTGTAGGATGACAAGCTGCTGAGATTACAACATCTGTATGACCTTGTAATTTCTGTACAATCTCTTTAGTCTGAAGGTTCCATATGTAAACCAGGTTATCCTCAGAACCAGACACAATCCATTTTCCACCAGTAACTGAAAAATTAGCAAAAATGCAGTATTTCTCATTCTTGTGACCAGTATATGTCTTCAGGCATCTGCCTCTGCTGTAATCCCACAGTTTAAGAGTGTTGTCCAAAGTTGCAGTAAGAATATATTTACCATTTGGAGAAAATTTTACAAAAGAGACAGGAGGGTTATCATCATCCACAAGTGTTTTTAAACACTGGCCTGAGGCAGCATCCCAGATTCTACAGAGACCATCATAGCTACCTGACACTATCAAAGACCCACTACAATTAAAATGAACAGCAGAAACTGGGTCAGAATGAGCAGACAAAGTCTTGAGGCACTTTCCTGTTTTCACTTCCCATATTTTCACACTCTCATCAAAAGATCCTGAAATGATGAGATTGGATGGTGGATTGAAATTACAACAAAAGACATAATTACTGTGTCCCTTCAGTGTTTTCAAACATTTTCCTGATCTCACATCCCATATCTTTAGAGTTTTATCATCTGAGGCAGAAACAAGACTACTGGAATCTGATGACCAGGCAACATCTGATATTTCCAGATTATGACCATAGAGTGTTTTCTCATATTTTCCATCGTATGCTCCCCAAATTATAATTAGTTTATCAGCAGAAGAACTTGCTAGCCATTCTCCATTAGGACTAAATTTAACTGATGATACAGCTTTCGTATGTCCCACCAGAGTACATTTGAGAGCATAGTTCGGTTTTTCAGGCACTTCTTGGCTCTCATTGGCTGATGAAGTGAGCGCCAACTGTGCTTTGGCATCTCCTGACTCCTTTGTTGCCATGGATCTGAAGCTCCAATTCAGTAGGTTGGCTAGGCGTCCAGTCCTGAACCAGGCAGTCCAGTATTTTGGTTTTCTGCCCAGCAAAATGAAGATAAAAATATCGGATTCAAATATATACAGTTTTTAATGATTATAATTTCTGGATCATCTTTATACTATATATACTGAATCTGCAGCACGGCTTGGACCACTTCAGTTTTTCCTCTCTCTTTTGTTAAATATTTGAGTAATGCTATTGAAAGGGTCCTGTGTGCTGTTGACAAGTAAGGTACTAATGCTCGTTATTTTATTAATGTATAATATAAAGCTGTCCAACGCGGGGGCGAGGGGGATCTCTACATTAAGTATTTTTTCACCGCCCCCCCGCCCCCACCGCCAGCTCCCAAATGTTTGCCATCATGAGCAATCCTACCAGTCAGACTAGGTCCTTGAGGACGAACGAACCACGGCTTTAAACAGATTTCAGAAGCCAAAAGAAAACCTACGTAGCCACAGGATTCTGAAGCCCTGGCCTACGGATTACTTGCGCACATACCTACGAGACAGCACTGCAGCGACAACCCCTAACCTAGCGGGAAAGGAAGTCTGTGCAAAGGAAGCCCCTCCCAACCACCACTTCCGAGCCCAGATAACCAATGGGAGACGCTTTCCTGCGCCTGCGCAAGAGGAGCCGGTCCTGCCCCGCCCCAGGTCCTTTTCGACCCCGCCCTCCAGACACAAACGTGACCGCGTCCTTCGGTGGGTTTGTTAGGTGTACAGGGCTTGTCCCAGACCTGACTGGCTAATGCGGGAAGCGACGGATGTATATTTCAAAGACCATTTCTTTCTGGAAACTGTCACAGGAGAGGGCTGAATTTGCCGTTGCCCCTTAGCCGCAGGCTGAGGCCCACACCTGACATGTAAACTGCCCAACTGCACGCTTTTCGGAAATGCGCTAAACTCGATCTACCCCGTCGGCGACTCCTAGTAAACTCCTCCTCCGCAGGCGGCTTTGGTTCTGCGCCCTTCCGTGCGCTGTGGTTCAGAGCCTGGTGGCATGGCGTTGGGGTAGCTGAGCAGTGATGATGTGTAGGCAAGGGGTGCGTGGCAGAATTTATGCCACATTATAAAACTCCTGATCTAAAAGTTTTCCCTGAAAACGTTTTGGAAAGGATAAGGAGCATGTCTGTTAGGGGCCTTTAAAAGCCAGAGCTATGCCAGAAGTAACGAGCAAAAATTTATTTTAGCACTTAAACTATGGAAGTTTTAAGCTTCCATAGAAAATTGAGGTGAGATCTGAAACAGAAAAGAACAAAGAGGTTGGTGGAACGGGATAAGAAATGGGTAAGGTTACTACTGTTAATTAGGCTTTACGATCTCTCCCTAGTTCTAAAAGTAATGATCAATAGCTGTGAAAGTATGCAAAATATACATGCTATTCACACATAAGTTACTCTTTTAAACAAGAATTAGGTTTTCCAAAAAACTATAAGCCTGATTAGTTTCTCCGTCCCTGTAGTAGTTCAATAGTGCGCCCAAGAGAGGCAGAAAATGTTGTTTAAAAGGTTTTCGCCGTGACAGAGCCAGATGCTGTCAGTCCAGAATTAAAAAGCATTTGGAACCAAAGGGTCTCCTGTTGTATATTTATTAGGGATAACTGAAAATCTTTGGCTTTATAAAGCACAGTAGCCATAATTAGGTCACCTGTAATAAATTGACTATAGTAAAAACCTCATTAAGACCCTACTACTACTCTAGCTGGAAATTTAAACAGGAATTGTACAAATAAGCTAGCGCAAATTAACCGTGTGAACGCAATGAGACAGTTCTGGCAATGGGAAGAGCATCTTTAAAATGGTAGAGCTGCAGTCCCCACCACGCAGGCCTCAGACCGGTACCGTCTGCAGCCTGTTAGGGACCTGGCTGCAGAGCTCTGCCCCGTCCTTCCCCTCCCCGCCCCCGTCTGAGGAAAAGTTGTCTTCGCAAGCAAGTGAAACTTCCCTGCTCCCCATTATTCACATCACCGTCCTAGCTATGCCTCCCTAGTCCACCCCAGGTCCGTGGAAAATTTGTCTTCCATGAAACCTGTCCCTAGTGCCAAAAAGGTTGGGAACCCTGGTCTAGAGTATTCATTTATATACATTAAATCGTAACTCTTAGCTATTAAGGCAAGGTCTCCATGCCCCTCCCCGCTCTGTAACATTTTGAAAAGGGAAAAACCTTCCAAGTATCTTCAATTCTGACTAAATCCTGCCTCTTCTCCTCCTTTCCTCCTCCCATTAACCTGGGCCAGTGTGATTTCAGCTAGAAAGCCTAGAAATGGCACCAATTGAAACCTATTTCCATTTTTATTAACTCATTAAAACGTAAATTTCACAACACACAGAGTTTAGGATTATTTTAAAGAATTTAGGTAAATCTATATTTTTCCAGTAACTGTATGCACTGGAGCTGCTGTCCTCAACCCCCGGCTGCGGACCAGTACCAGTCAGCGGCCTGTTAGGGACTGAATGCAGAGTCCCTCTGGCCCCCACCCCGTGGAAAAATTGTCTTCCATGAAACTTGGGAAGGGGTACAGGGTGCACAGCAGGTGATTGGCGGGTGAGCAAGCACGTGAAGCTTTCCTGCACTCTATTGTTCTGAGCTCCACCCGCCAACCACCGTGGAAGAATTTTCCATGAAACCGGTTTCTGGTGCCAAAAAGGTTGGGCACCGCTGCACCAGAGGAGTAAAGATAGATTAGATAAGGTCAATCACTTGACATGAGGCCTGGTATATTGGTGCTGGAGTATATTTAGCCCACTACAAACATCACAATCAAAGTCACCTTAATCAAAGGTATATTTCCCTTGACCCCCGGAAAAATTTGCAAATATTCTATAAGTATTGCCACAAATAGAGCAATTTTTCTTGGTATGTGTGTAGGACCTAACCATGGCCTGAGTGATTCTGACATTAAGGAATTTCTTGACTACCTTTCTTCATAGCAACTCTTGACTACCAAATCCAGTCCTCAAAATCAAGCATTAATAGAACTATGTACATACCCAGACTACTAGCAAATGTACAAAAATCTAGTTGGGCTAAGTATGGGGTGGTAACACCATCCAAACTGGGACATTTTTAAAGTGAAAGGGGCACCAAAATAATTAACAGGTATTAACTACAAATCTAAAATATAAACTGAGACAGTCTCCAGTGAAACACTAGTCACTGCTGACTTCCCAAGATCTCATAATCATAACTTAATCTTCAAAAGTTCCACTCTGTATGACAGTTTATATATCCCAGCCTGCCCATCTCTCTCTCCCAAACTTTGTCCTGTTGAGCCCCACCACAACAGTCTTCTGAGTTTCTATTTTCTCCTTGCCCATCACTTTATCTTAATAATGCTGGGCCCAAGTGGTAGATAAAGCAGTGATCCTTATTGTGGACCCTCACTGGACTCCATTGGCTTCCTCGGGTTAAGTGGATATGGATAAAGAAATTTAAAAAGTAATTTTATTTTTTGCAAAAACATTCATGACCACAGAAATGACCATATATTGATTTCAAGTTAGAGAAAACAATGACTTTTTCAAAGTGCAAGTGAAACAGGGGGCAACAATCATTCAAGCTAGCTTTAATAAACTTGTAAATCCAGCAATTTTGTACTACAGATAAAACTGTAGTTTGCAGGAGCTAAGGCTATGTTTTACTTTAAAATTTTTTGTTTCGTTTTCAGAAAAAAATATCTGGTTAGTGAAATCTCTCAAAAAAAAAAAAAAAAAAAGAAGCAGTCATGGAGTGAAGAAATACACCTTCTGTTTCTACTCACCTGTAACTTACAGGAATGGATTTAAAAAAGTTCTCGCAATACATACAGTATGTAAAAATGAAAAATCCCCGTTTAATAGCCTAAGGCAATCATCAGCTTCCACATCAGTTGGTTATAACTGACAAAATTTTTTCTTAATTTTAAAATATGCCAGAATAGAGTGATGAGGTATTTTTGGTATATATAAACACATGAGGTTGATTATATTTTAGTTAACCTGTGGAATACACCCATCAACTTTTCTGAGATAGTTTGTTTTTAAATAACAGACCTCCTCTATGACAGTGTTTGCTTTTGTAAACTTCTCGTCAAATTATGTCTCCTGAAAGGTAACTGCATATAAAACAGATGTTGCAACTCTTGTTTTAAGAGTTATTAATCCTGATTTCAAATAACAGCATCAAAGAATTCCTTTGAGTTTTCTTTTGTAATCAAGTACCTTTTACTAACATCACATAGATGCTTACTCCTTCATTCACTTAGTATTTATTGAATGTCTACTCTGTGCAAGGCACTCACCCATGGCCTGACAGACTACATTGAAGTACAAAGAATCATTAGAGCCATTCCAAATCAAAGTGTCAGACCACTTTGAAAAAGGATATAGAGAGGTCAGAATGACTTGAGGTTAAGCAGAAATACTCAACAACCAATACATTAAAAGATGATCTTAGTTCTTGACATTCCTTTGGACTATACTTCTTTAGGAAATAGACTCTTAAATTCATATCCATGGCCCTGCTTTCTAAAACAGTAATTCTTCATTCCAAAGACTTTCTTTCTCTAAGTCAATACCTTCTACATTTGCATTTGAATAGAAACACATTTCCATGAGTTTAGCCACTATGTTATAAAACTCATAATCCACCATTTGCATATTATTTTTTTAAACCTCTGCCGTCCTTACCTGGCCATAGAGAATTTTAGCACCACAGAAGGGAAAAAAAGATGTTTGGGCTGAGGGCCTATATTCCAGACTATGTAACCTAAAAGCAACTTATGCCTGATTCAGTCATTTTAAGTGTACTAATGAGGAAGATTCAGGAAGAATGTCCAACAAAAAGGGCTGGCGGCTGAAATTTAGTTCTGGGAGTATTTCAGCACAGAACTACTGCATGACCACTGCTTTCTTCGATAGAAATTGTGGAGCTTTTCCCCTCTCTTGGACAGCCAGAATCTAAGGATTGTGACCCTTGGGGCAAAGTAATTTCTTGTAAGTCTTTTGATTTTGTCATCTACAATATAGTAGTAATTATCCACCTCAAAGAGCAGTTGGAGGATTAAGTGAGAAAAAGCCCTTAGCCAGGTACCTGACACACAACAGATAATCAAAGACAAGTAAGTTGCTTTTATCTGACCTATAAGGAAACACTCTGGGACTTGTTTTAGTTGAAAACAGAATGGAACTTCATCTAACCATTAATTCTTCCTTCCTACCCCAAGCTTCCAAATGTATTTTATGTCCAATAGCACTTTAATAGTTTTAATGAGCATATAAATATTTGCTTTATCACACATTCTTCTGATGCTCTGGTATCCATTCTTATAACCTATCGTTTTCTGACAATAAAACATGCTATGGAAATTTTATTTTAGATATGGCGGTCTCAACTCTTCCCACCCAGGCTGGCTGGAGTGCAATGGCACAATCATAGCTCACTGGAGCCTTTAACTCATGGGCTCAAGCAACCCTTCCACCTCAGCCTCTGAGTATCTATAACTATAGACGCACGCCACCATGCCCAGCTAATTTTTTATTTTTTGATAGGGTCTCCTGATGTTGCCCAAACTGGTCTTAAACTCCTAGCCTCAAATAATCTTCCCATAGTGCTGAGATTCTAGGCGTGAGCCACCAAACCTGGCTAGAATGTTCTTTGTATTACCACCAACTTACTGTACCAGTTATATCTAGCCTTCAATTACTTTAACTTTTTTCTAAAAATTAACTTTTGATAAAAAAAAAGTCCCAAATATTTCCCAACTGGGCAGATATATATTTAATTCTTTTCTGTCTCATAGTAGAAATGGTCCTATTAATTTGGGGTGGACAAAAATTCAGATTTGAGACTTCCATATATAAGCATATCTATTTCTGCAAATGAGTAAATTCTGGAATGTATGCGGCATGTATGTGTGTGTGTGTATATGCACACACACATATACACATATGTATATATACATATACGTATATATACATATTATGTATATATACATATATATGTATACACACACACACATACAGCATGTATATGTTGAAAGCAAACAATGCCCCTTTCCAAAAGTGAATCCTTATTTTCCCTATTCTTTACTATCATCCTTAGATACCAAAATTTCTAATATACATAAAAAGCCTCAACCACTAAAACAGTTATATTGAACTTGTCTATTAATATGAAAAATTTCCCAGAACTAATCAGCAAGAAAGAAAAGAAACCCCTGGACTCGAGGAAAACCTTTTCATAATGCAACCCCAAGTTAGGGAATTAAATAGCTGAAATGTTTATTTAGCACTAGAGAAGTAAATTCAAAGTTGCCTGTGGGTAGCCATGTACAATAAAAGATTTAGTTGACAAAGTTTGATTTATAAAATATACTTACATATTTTTCCTTAGGCAAAATCAGCAGCAACCTGGAATAATTCAGATTTATTATGGGATGATTGCCTATGTTTTTCTCTGTGACACTAATGCTGAAAATGACCCAATCAGCTTTATCTGGCATATGGAAGAAACAATAGTAGGGCAACAGAATTTTCAAAAGCAGTACAACTGACAAAGTAAGAGTTACAAAGGGTCTTGATTAGTTAGTGACAAGAACATGAAAGTGTTCCACAGAGAACTCTGTCTCCTAAATCTCTCCTTTCTTCATATCCATCATCTTTACCTTCCCTGATATTTCTCAATCCAGCCATATGTACCTTTTGGTCCTTCAGAAACCAGGTGCTTTTATATCCCAAATTCTCTCAGTGCTTTTTTTTTCCCACCAAAGTTCTCATTTCAAAGAATACACTTTGAAAGTTTAAAAGAAGGAAAAAATATAAAGGAAAGGAAAAACAAAGCTACTTTTCCCCAATTAGTAAATAAATCTGCGAAAGAGTTTTCCTGTGTTAAAATCAACATGCTTTTGTTAATAAGCAACACCTTAGTGACAGGGCATCTGAGAAATTGAAACTAAATGAATAGACTACCAGGCAGAAAACTAAAAATAGGATTTATAGTTACCCCTAAAAATGTCATTTCTATTACCAAAAAGGGTGCCTTATTAGTACCAACTTCCAATACATCTGAATTATGCTGGGATTTAACTTTTAGCCAATTCCATTTCTATACTTTAAAAAAAAATCTTGTTCAGATCTTATACTTTATGAACTTCCTCTAGGACAGGAGCAAGACAAATTCCTCTGTTTCAGACAGCAAATAGATCGTGTCAGTTAAATGAACTTTAATTCATTCATTGAAACACCTGCAACTGGCAGCAAAAATTCCCAATGTACACTACTCTTACTAACGTGAGGAGACAACTTTGTGTGCTTTATGTTTTTTCCATTCAAACTGGTTTATAAAATGAAAAATTTTAAACCATCCAATAGAAGGTACATAATTTAAAACATCCTATAGAAATGACATGTTACCAGTAATTTACAATTTTAAAAAACTCAGCCACAAAAGAAGTCAAAGCTAAAAACAAGATTTTTACTATGAATCAGTGCTTCTATTACCCTTCTGAAAGAAGTTATATTTTAATGTGATGTAAAGGCAACATTGAAAATTCTTCTTTAAATTAACCACCTAATTTATCCCTAAAATTACAAAGAATCAAAGTCTTTTACAGGTCGAGTGCAGTAAACTACAATGTTCTCTCAGCACAAAGCAGCACTAGAAAAAGTAACAGTTATAGATGGGAGTTGACTAGTTTTGCAGTGGCTGCTCCATCAATAACAAAACAGACATCAGACGGTATCCATCCCAGAGCACAGACACAACTACAGACTAGATGTGAAGAATGCGTCACACTCTTGGCTGATAAATGTCCTTTGTCTTTGACTCTTTCTAGTTTGAATGAAGTGGATTTTTTAAAAGTTTAAATCAGGTCACATAAGTTGACTGCTTAAATAACATCATGATGAGGTATGAAAGCTCTGAATATCCCTTACATTCAGCAGGATTTACCAGAGATGTATAATAGCTTGTCAGGGGCAACTTCCAAATAGTTTTTACACTTTGGGGTTATAATGAATTCTAGAAGAGGACAAGTCTAAAGAAGTTTAAAAGGGTATGCTCTGAAACAGAAGTGAGCAACTTTTCCTTCAGAATTCATTTTGAACAGCACATCAACAAAAAAATCTTCTCTGATAGTGTATCCCAACATTGAGTCAAGATGGCCAACTAGCACCGAGAAGTTGTATTGAACTCACTTGCAGTTCTCTTGGCAATTAAGCATAGTTTTTCATTCCAGTCCAAGTACAAATGTGGATCACTGAATGCAGTACTGGAAGCGCCATTTGCAGGTATAGAGTGCAGTCATCATTAAATGAGCCAGAAGGTGGATATTGTTTTTATTGGGGTGGGGAATGGGGGGCGCACAGTACTAACAGGAGATGAAATAAAATGATTAGGGAACAATGAGGTTATAAGAAAAAGATCACTGCCCTTATTTGAGTTAAACAGGTCATGTTGCAAAGATGGTAATTTTTTAACAGTAAGGATGCTACATTAAAGGAATCATATGTGCAGCATGAATATATTAGAATCTAGCTGCACCTGACTTAAGAAAAAAATCCCTAAGTAACTTTTAAAAGTATGTGTTATCTGCCAGTCACAGAGGGGAAAAGCACCTAGGGTGAACTCCAATTTAATGAGGACCTTGAACATCAGGACCACAAAGCCTGAAACATTTGTTTTAATGCAGAAATACAGCATCTAGTTACACTGGTTGAGTTTGGGAAAACTGGACAGTGGCTTTTTTGTGTGTTTGTTTGCTTTTCTTAGTTTTATTATTGAATTAGAGGATATGGTTTTTGATTACTGAGGATTTTAAATCATACCAGCATTAGGATTGAACCACTTCCAAATCCTAAGACACATAGACCAAGAGATGCAAAAACCATACAAATTAATATGTGCCCCTCTCCTTTCTGCTCTAAGGGAATCTGCAAACCAGTATCACATTTAAGAGTCAAAGTGTTAATTCTTCAGCATTCCTGACAACTAGAAAGCACATTCACTGAAGGCTGAAGGTGAGGGAGTGGATGGTTTAACTTTAATATCTGAAGAATGGCGCCAATAGAGGAAAGAAAACCATCCAATCTCAGTAAGTATTAATGCAAATTTGGCTAGAAAAAGCCATCGGATAATCCAAGGGTTCACTGTGGAAGAACTCATGAAAAGTACTCTGAAGTATACACAACAGGTCTAAATATCTCCCTTGTCGCAAGTAGTTGTGTGAAATTCAAGATAAAGGTTTAGTCTCATCTTTTAATGTCAGTATTTTTTTCCCACGTTAAAGGGAATGAGGAGTCGTCCTCTTTTATCCCCCATAAAAAAGGGAGCCACATTAATATATGTATATTCCCATGACTCTAATATAGGTGCGGATCTCCAAAGCCTAAGGATTTTTCCATAAGAGATTTGGCCGTTCTGGTTACCCTTTTATTAGAAGGGTATTCCACCACAGAGAGCCAGAGGTTTTCCAGATGTGTGTAAGAGAGCAGGTGCGCAAGGCAAGCAAATGAGCGCAAACAGTATTATGGAAAACATTTGAGAAGTTAGCTCCATGAGGACTGTGGGCTCCACAAGAGGACTCGACTGGATAGCCTGGTCTGACAGAGGAACGTGAAAGCAGAGTATTGCTTCAAAGCTGGAAACCTTCCATAGGAGCCTCACACTGCTGGAAGATGTACTGCTGCTGGCTAAGATCAACCTGGGGTGCAATGCTGCTGTCTTCATCTTCGGTCCCGAAGTAATGCTCAATAAGGTCAAAGGCCTTCTGGTAGATTTCCTGGTTTTCGTGACTCTGTAAGAACTCAATTTTATCCAGGCCTAAAATGAAGAATAAAGGAAAATCTTTATTGGAATTTCTAATATTTGTTGGAAATTCTGGCAAAACTGTATTTTGCCATATGTCTCCTTAATTGATGTAAAGGAAGATTCTCTATTTGAATCTTGCATTTTATATTAGCACAGAAATGACTATTGGGATTATACCTGAAAGCTAGTATTAAATACACATGCAAGCAACATCCAGTCTGCAGAAGCAGCAATTTCCATAACAATATCCATTTCATCAAGTGCCATGCGGTAGCATTAGTGTTTTTATTGGACTCTATGGCCTAATTAATTCTTGGCCATCAGCTTCTTTAATCAAAGCATCTTACCATAAGCTTCTTCAATCAAAGCACAGTAAGGGTTAATGCCATTGCCGTTCCTTTTGGCTTCTTGTTCTCCAAGCCTCAAGATATTTTCCAAACCATTTAGGGCAACCTGTACAATCTTAGAGTCCATGACCGTGAGGAGATCACAGAGTGGCTTGATACAACCCAGTTCTACTAGGTACCTAAATTAATACAAAAAAAATTTAGTCAAACAAAACTTTTAATTTTGTAGAACTTTTATGAAATTGGTGAGTCATCCACAAACTCAGAGGATGCAGAGATAAAAACAGGCTCTCATTCAACCATACAAGCTATACCTTAATTATAAAAAAGCTATGAATAAATCCCCAAACCAGTTCTCAGGCACCATCTCCATTCTTTTTTCTCTCCACAATTATGGACTCCAAAAAATAGGAATACTCTCCTACTTTGAATATGATCAACTCATCAAAATAGTGTAGGTTTGACTGATTAATTTCATCTTTGTTTCTGTAGGTAGCCACATCTCTGAAACATGACACACTTGGTACTAAAAGCCAACAGAAGCCCATTAGGCCAAATGTTGCAAAGATGATTAGAATTTTAATAACATAAATTGTGAGAAGACTATATGGGAAGAATAAGACAAACATAAGGAGAATTCAAGAACTAGTATTTTTCTTTTTAATTCAGGCAGAATTTAATATGTAATCAAGATTAATGATAATGGAACTGAAACATGATTACTGTATCATATTCAGACAGATATCCATGCCATTCTGGTTTCTCAACTTGTATAGCTAGAGGCAGAGATAATGACTCCAGTTGCATATTCTATGAATGTGCAATTAGGTCATTATGGAACTTACTACTAGTGCTACTCTATTTTTCACTCACATATTTCTTTGGGGGGGGCATGTGGGGAGGATTTCAAAAATACATAAAAACCAATCTCTGGCCAGGCAAACCAAGAACAAGAAGAAAAAAGACAAATTACTAATATCACAAAATAAAAAGGGTATCACCATTTATCTTATGGAAATAAAAAGGATAATAAAGGAATATTACAAACTGCTCACAAATTTCACAACTTAAATGATAAAATGGACAATTTTCTTGAAAGACACAAACTACCAAAACTCACCAAGTAGGCTTTATTCCAGATATGCCAGACTAATCTAACATTAAAAAAAAAAATCAATGTAATCCATCACATCAACAGATGAAATGTGCATCTGCTGCACATTTCAACAGATGCAAAGAATCATTTGACAAAATCCAACACTCATACATGATTAAAAATTTTCAGTAAACTAGCCAGGCGCAGTGACTTACACCTGTAGTCCTACACTCTAGGAGACTGAGATGGGAGGATCACTGGAGGTCAGGAGTTTGAGACCAGCCTGAGCAAGAACAAGACCCTGTCTCTACAAAAATAAAAATAAATGAGCCAGGCATGGTGGCATACACCCATAGTCCTAGCTACTCAGGATTCTGAAGGGGGAGGATCACTTAATCCCAGGAGTTCAAGGTTACAGTGAGCTAGTGAGCTATGATTATGCCACTGCACTCCAGCCTGGGCAACAGAGCAAGACTGTGTCTAAAAAGAAATTAAAAGAAAGGAAAAAAAAAAAACACATGATCTCCTTTACATCAGCATCAAAAAAGTATAAATCTAACAAAATGTGTACAGGATCTATATAAGAAAAACTATAAAACTCTGATGAAAGAAGTAAAAAAGATCTATTATAAATGAATGGAGAAACATTCAACATTCATGGACAGTAAGACTCAATATTGTTAAGATATCAGTTCATCCCAATTTGATCTATGGATTCAATGTGATAATTCCACAAATCAAAATCCCAGCAAGTTATTTTATGGATACCAACAAACTGATTCTAGAATTTATATGGGACAGCAAAGACCAATACAGTACAAGAGAACAGCCAATACAATACTGAAGAACAGTCAGAGGACTGACATTACCTAACTGACTATAAAGCTGCAGTAATCAAGACAGCTTGGCACTGGTGAAAGAATAAACAAATAAACCAACAGAACAGAACAGAGAGCACAGAAACACAGCCACACAAAAACAGTCAACAAATTTTTGACAGAAGAGCAAAGTTTAATGGAGAAGAGACTTTTTTTTTCAACAAATGGTGCTATCTATATATTAATATACACATCCCCAAAAATAAAAATAATAAACCAAAACACAGACCTTACTTATACCTGTCACAAAAACTAACTCAAAAATGGATCACAGATCTAAATGTAAAATGCAAAGCTATAAAACTCCTGAAAGATAACATAGGAAAAAATCTAGGTGACCTTGGGTTTGTAGATGAGTGTTTAGATAAAACATCAAAAGCATAATCCATGGACAGAAAAAAATTGATAACTTGGACTTCATTAAAATTTCAAACTCCTCTGTGAAAGTCACTGTTACAAGAATGAAAAGAAAAGCCACAGACTAGGAGAAAATATTTGCAAAACACATATTTGATAAGAGGCTGGTATCCAAAATATACAAAGTACTCTTAAAATTCAACAGTAAGAAAATGAAAAACCCAATTAAAAAATTGACAAAAGATCTGAACAGAAACCTCATCAAAGAAGACACATAGATGGCAAATTAAGATATGAAACAATGTTCAACATCACATCATATGACATCAGAGAACTGAAAATTAAAACAAGATACCACTACACAACTATTAGAATAGCTAAAACACTGACAATATCAAGTGCCAGAAAGAATATGGAGCAACAGAACCTTCATCTGTTGCTGGCTGGAATGCAAAATGGGACAATCACTTTGGAAGACAACTTAGCAGTTTCTTAACAAAGCTAAATATCGTCTTCCCATATGACCCAGTAATCACACTCCTAGACTTTACCCAAATGAAAATTTATGCCCACACAAAAACCTAAACACAAATATTTACAGCAGCTTTATTCATAATTGTTAAAAACTAGAAGCAACCAGGATGTTCTTCAGTAGGTCAATGGATAAACTGTGGTATATCCATATCATGGAATATTATTCACTGATGAAAAGGAAATGAGCTATCAGGGCATGAATAGACATGGAAGAAATTTGAATGCCTATTACTAAGTAAAAGAACTCCATCTGAAAAAGCTACATAATATATAATTCCAACTATATGATACTCTGAAAAAGGCAGAACTATATATAGAAAGTAAAAAGAACAATGGTTGCCGGAGATTCCAGGGGTTAAGGAGGTAGTGATGACAGGTGAAACAGAGAGTAATTTTAGGGTAGTAAAACTATTCTATAAGTAAGATACTGCCATGTTAAACATGTAACACTAGGCATCCAGAACCCTACAAAACAAAGAGTGAACCTTAACATAAACTATGGATTTTAGTTAATAATAATGTATCAGTACTGGTTAATTAACTGTATCAAATGTAAACACACAAATGCAAGACATTAATAACAGGGCAAACTGTGTTCAGGGGAGGGAAATATATTGGAACACTGTACTATCAGCTCAATTTTTCTGTAAACTTAAAAATGTTCTAAAAATAGACTATTAGTTTTTTTTAAAGGTGGTTTTAGGTCATATTTAGCATTTTTGCTCAGAATTATTTAACAGTATCATGCCTTATTTAATTATATATATCCTATAAACAGAACAGGCCAGTCATCCATGCTTAGCCATTTCTATTTCCTCTTCCTTCACCCCATAGGTTTTATTCACTAAAACCTGTCAACCATCCTTTCAATATATTTAAATAATTCTCATTATTTTTCTTAAAAAGAGAAAACCAAATCTCTTTTCTCATTATAAACATATACATTAGTTGTTAAAAACTTGGGAAGCACAGAAAAGCATAAAGAAAAATAGAAAGTACCCAGAGATAACCACTATTAAATTCTAGTTCTGCTATTACATACAAGCTAGATAACTTTGGGCAAGTTCTCTGATTTCTCTGTGCTTCAGATTTCTCATCTGGAAAATTCTGGGAACCACAGATGAGTAAGTCTGCCACTAAACCCCCAGTAGTCAACTAAATAGATGACTTACACATAGATGTCTTCATTTCAACTTTCCTGGCCTACCTAGGTGAGTCTATTGGATATCAAGAGACTTGTTTAGAATCTCCAAAATGTTCTCAAACTTGATCTTTCTCTATTCTTGATATGTTCTATTCTCCCCACTACAAATCTTGGCTCTGTGATCTCCGATCCTATCACCTTTAAAAAGTTTAGTACTATCTAGTTGTAGAATCTTATGTTATGAAAATCAGTATACTGATAACTTGACTGAGGATTAAAAATAAAGTTTAAGGTCACTAGAAAATTTCTAGAACTTGAATATAATTAATTAAATGAATAACTTTACTATGAACTATAAAATTATTGACTAAAAGTTTCTTATAAAAACAACTACCCGGCCAGGTGTGGCGGCTCACACCTGTAATCCTAGCACTCTGGGAGGCCAAGGTGGGTGGATCATTTAAGCTCAGGAGTTCGAGACCAGCCTGAGCAACAGCGAGCCCCGTCTCTACTAAAAATAGAAAGAAATCAATTGGACAACTAAAAATATATACAAAAAATTAGCCAGGCATGGTGGTGCATGCCTGTAGTCCGAGATACTTGGGAGTCTGCGGCAGGAGGCTCGTTTGAGCTCAGGAGTTTGAGGTTGCTGTGAGCTAGGCTGACTCCATGACACTCTAGCCTGGGCAACAGAGTGAGACTCTGTTTCAAAACACAAACAAAAAACAATAAACAAAAAAAACTCTACCCAAAAATGTGCTGATATGTATTATAAATTCAGAGTTTTGATAATCTGAGTAGATTCTATTTGCAAGATATGGTCTTGGTAATTTATACTCTAATATAATTCATTTAATAAAGTTTTAAGTTCCCAATTCTACCATTTAAACTATTTAAACATAGATCCCCAAAGGTGTACAATCACGGCAGTCAACAGCTTTCTTTCCAAGGATCTACAAGATTAAAAGGTCAGTGGCAGCATCACTCAGCTGACACAACTATTCTTAATTACCTTAAGAGTCTGTACTTTTCAAGATTAAAAGGGATTTAAGGTGATATTTTCTGATGCAACCTCTCATCTTTGGAGAATTAAGATTTGCTATATTTGAGAAAAGCATTATAAGAAGGACTATTTCCTCAGGATTAAGTTTAAAGACTTGAAAAGATGACTGGAAAACAGCATGGAAAACAAGCACAATTCTATGGTTAAAGACTGGGAATGGTTCCTATGGGTAACGTATTTAAAACATCTGGATGAAATGATTACTGTTCATCAAGGTGAGCTGACTTTTGTGGCAGAATAGACTACCACCAAGAAGGTTTTTTCTGAATAAGGATATTTAGTGCACAAGAACACATTATCTAGAAAAGTGAGCTATTTTCTAAAATTATATTAATGTTGCAAACCTGAGAAAGTGGATCTGATTGGTAATTTTACATCTAGGAGTTCCTTTAAGGAGCAGAAATTTATGGGGAAGAAATCTAGATTTAGAATGAAAAAATGAGTTTTAAGAGACTGAATGGTAAAGTCAGATTTCTTCACATAAACAACAAATTCACTGTATCTAAAATCATTGCCCTTAAAGATGATTTGCTCCTTTGCATCCTAATTTTTATCAGCAGCATCACCATTTTCTAGTCATCTTTGACTTCCTTCTTCTTTGCTTCTGACAGCCTTCCACCAAGTTCTATATATCCTTCTTTCCCATACCCAGACCCACTCATTCCTTTCTACTACGGCTATCACCTCAAGCCTGGCCATCACTATACCCTGAAGGCACCTTACTTGTTCTTTCTTCTCAAAACACTGTTTTTCATGTCACTGTTGATGTCAGACACTCCAAGTTTTCCCAATATCTAAGACTAAGGCCTTCATCCCAGTATTCAAAGTTCACCAATTACTTAATTCCTCATCCCTGTGAAAGAATAACCTATAAGATTGATCTTCTTCAAAAACATTGTGTGCATTCTCACACTTTAAAAACTTCATGCTATTCTCTCCTCCAAAATTGCAAAATCTCTACCCAAATGGTAAGTTTCATCTCTTTCATGAATCTTTCTCTAATTCCAGTCAACATTCCTTATCCCTCATTCTTAAGAACACAGTATGTATTAGCATTTGATTATATTCAACCTATAATTGTAGATATTTCCTAAATTATTCTAACTGGTTCTTGCATCCAAATCTTGTCTCTTCAACAAGAATGAGCAGAAGTCAGATAGATGTCTTTTATCTGTGATAAAGTCAGTTTTTTGGAGTGTTAAGCTTTTTGTGATAATCTTTCAAGACAATGCTTCATACAGGTAAGAAGAAACTGTAGGATATGATAATTAACTTTATTATTATAAATAGCTATGCTGAATTTTAAAAAGGGAGAGTAGCAATTCTCTTCTCTAAGACAGGGAAATACTCCTGAATACTTCCTCATGAAAGATGGCATAATATTTTAGAAATGTTTTTAAAATATGTATGTGCATGGTTTAATTATTTCAATTAAGAAAACATTTGGTACAAAATATAGAGATAATTAATGATTATAAATCTGAATTTGAACATAAAATTTATTCAAATAACTATTCTATAGTATTTCATACTGTTGCTATCTGGTGATGGCATACTTAAAATCATAGCATCCTAGAACCAGAACCTTGAGACTGAAAAAAACATAAAAGATAAATGTGCTTTTGACAACCACTTGAAGTCTTCCTTGACTTGTCCATTATGAATTTTACTGAAATAGGTATTGCCTATGTTAGTCTGCTTACAGTCTTATTATTCCAGGTACATTTCTTATCTTCTCTATCTGACCAATTTTTACAATTTATCAGGACTATTTTTATTTTTTAATTCCAAACAGAGCACTCAAAATTAGCATTTGTTGAATGCCTACATTTAATCCCAAAAGCAACAATGTTAAGAAGTAGCTATCGTTTTCTGATATTACATACAAGGAAGGGGGTAATGCTTTAACACTCATTTGAAACCATCCTCTCCTCATCTGGATTCCCCACAAAGTAAGTTAAGGCAGGCTAAGAGTCTGGGTTCTATTTTTCTCTTCATCATTCCTTTTTTTCTTCCTATATGGAATAGTGGATGTTCAGAAGTTAGTATTTAATTATATGATACTCCTTTGAGGAACTGATTCTCATCCATATTTATACTCTCTCTTCACATTAAGATTATAAGCTGTTACCAAGGGAGCCATGTAAATCTCAAGCTGCTACAAATCTCTCCCTTTACAGAATACTGTAATACTTTAGAAGACACTTGCCTCTACTTAATTTGGCACTTTATTCTACGTCAACCCTCTTTCAAGTCTGGTCTAATTCTACTATTAAGATATTTCTGATCAAACAACTCCAGAGTAGGCTGAAGTTACCTGTAAGTATTTCTATTGCCTCAAACCTCAACTATGCCTTACTTCTCACATCCCAGAATTATTTTCAAGAAGAAATGGGAGAGATGTAAGGAATCAAATACACATTTGAGTCTAATTACGACACTGAGATTTTCAAAGGGGTAGAATTAAGCACTCTTATTTAATAAGATCATCTCTCACCTTATTCCTCAAAGGTAGCTATTCTTTCACTCTAGGGTAATATGAAGGGAAGTTATAAAGGGACAGACACAATAATAAGTTTTCCTTTCATTTACAAGATGCTACCTGACTAGTACTCACTTGATTTGTTCAGCTGATCCTCCAGAAGTTGCATTTGTGATGGCCCAGGCGGCTTCTTTCCTTGTCCGAAACTCAGCAGTTTGTAATATACTAATGAGGGCTGGAAAAATATTGGCATCTATCACAGTCTGAAATTAAAAGAAAATTTAAGTGGGAAAAAAAATTTTAATGGAAAGGGAAACGACAAGATTTGCAAAAGTACACAATAGTAATTATAACTTTTAAGCTAGCTTCACTACTGACATCCTTCCCTCTGTCAAAAATGAATTGGAAAGCATTAAGTCCTATACTTGGTATCACTGATAAGATCAACCCTGGAGAATTTGTTATCTTCCCTGGAGTTTGTGATTTTATATCTCCTAAGTTTTCTCCCTGAATTCTTTTCTCTTTTTATTGTTCTCTCTTGTTCCACCCACAGTAACAAATTATAGAAGTTCAATTTTCTGTTCTTCTGCTATTTTCATTTCTCTCATAGCATACAATCTTGCAAAATGTACTGAAAACTCTCTAGTCCTTGCTTCTCTCTGGTCTGGCCCAGGATAGCCAGCAGTTTACTTTAGATCAGCTAGTCACCTCAAACACATTATCTGCCCTCTGTCAGGTCTCCTTTTCACCCTCTCTAGTTCACAAAGGCTATTTACTTATTTATCCATTCTAAATTCAGTCAGTTACCAAGTGTCCTTATCATTCTCAATTTAAATGTCCCGAGTCCATCTTTTACCTTCCATTAGCACTGCAGCCATCCTATTCCAAAGTCACCACCTCCCAATCAGATTAACAGAACAGCCTTATAGTCAATGGAATACTTTTACTCAATCCTACTCATATACTAACACTGAAGTAGTCTTCCCAAAATTACCGTCTTTATGTTTCTCTTTGGCACAGGAACCTAAAATGGGTTCACATCATTTCCTATATCAAGAAACTGAGTTCTGCATAAAAGCCTGGTGGATGCAGGCAATCAACTACAGATGAAATCACCTAGTATACATGCTACAAATTGGTATAGCTATCAATCTCAGTCCCTAATTCAGCATTCTGGAAACAATTAGCTATGCTTTCCTGGACGAGAATTCTTTCTATTATAACAGTGAAGGAAGTCAGCAAAGTTTAGCAGAAAGACACCTAATCCTGGTCCTGTCATTTACTACAGGTGTTCTTGAGCAAATAACTATTTCTCTGAGCCTCAGTTTCATCCTTCTTTTTAATTTTATCTTTACTGACAAATAACAACTATAAATATTTATGGGGTACAATGCAATGCTTTGAGATATATATAATGTGGTAGATGAGAATGTTGAATTAGATGATCTCTATGTTTCCACTCATCCCCAAATCCCCCAAGTCTATGTTTTATCTTTACTGACTCATTATTCCAGCCTTGACCACGGTCCATGCTAAACCCTTTGGCTCACTGTTTGTCTTCCACTTGAGTTACTCTCCCACTGATAGAAAGACAAAAGTAAAGGGCAGATAACCATTAAAAGAAAAATGGGTATCCACATGTTCATAAAAAACTGATGTGACCTACTCCATGGGTCTACTAGATAAAAATTATTTTACTTGATAAGAGTAAAGCTAATCTGTTTAGCACAAAGTTCATGAAAACATTTTGGAAATAGAAGATACTATGTAGAAGATACTATGTCTTAGATCTTGCTAAATCATCAAATATTGAAGACAATGGGAAAAACCAAGGCCTCAGTGTAAATTTCCAAAGGCTTAACACCTATAAGCTAGGATAAAGAAAGAAGTAGACTATGAAATAAGACAACAATCTTGGAAGTTAGTGTTCTTCAATGCAATAATGAAAATAATATATATTTTAAGAGTGACTGATATCAATGAAAATACAGAAAGAAAGGCAGGTCCTATGAGATTACCTGAATCTGTGCCCTATTTCCAGCTGTAATATTAGATATTGTCCAACATGCTTCCTTTTTGATAGATTCCTTTGGGCTACTCAGCAAATGCAATAAACTCTGCAGAGCTGAGCAATTCAAAATTACCTAAAAGGAAAAGTTTAAAATTTTTACTTATTGTATTGTTCCAAATAAATCTTTAACTCAAATAACTTATTTTAGGTAAAACATAGGCAAAGAAATAACATCTCCCCTTGAAATTTTAGAAATAAGCAACTTTTATATACATAAAAAAGTATTTACTGAGAAACTAATTAGAATTAGTTTCTAAGATTATCAAACTAGCTTCACTGTACATAAGCACAACTGCTAAAATGGCACTTAATAAGAGACAAATAATGTTTGTATTAGTAATTTCAAAAGGATTACTCATTCACCCTCCTATCCCTGTAGCATAAGTCTTCTGGATGGCTAAATATATCAAGTGGCCAGAAAACACAGAAGTAGTCTTCAGATTTTTAAGTCTTCTGATAACTCTCTACCTAGTAGTCAATGAATTAATACATACTTACTAATAAGGTATGCTTAATGAAGTACATCAGATGTTTTATTAAAAAAAGATATGACCCCAGGTATCAAATAGCTTACAAAGGTGAGGAATATAAGACAATTCCACAAGGAGAAGGAAACTTACTCTATCAGAAACTAAAATCATAAAGTTAGAATGATTAAAATAGTATGTAGCAGGCTCAAAAATCAATCATTGAAAAACAGGATATCTAATCCAGAAACAAATACAAATATTTATAAAGAATTAAGTCTATAATAAAAGTTAATCCTTTTTTTCCTCCAATGACCTGTGCTTTTATTTATCAGACAGAACTAGAGTAAGAGGCTAAATAGCCAAAAAACATTTTTTCAAGATCAATTCTTAACCCCAAGTTATCAAAATAAATTTACAACCAATTAAGTATTTTTAAAAGGAATCATAAAGCAGAAAAAAATATCAGAAAACAGCTGATCTAGGCATGGCAAAAAACTTCCCAAACATAAAACAAAGAAATTATAGAAAGAAAAAAAATTTTCACCAAACAATTTTTCCTGTCAAAAATCATAAGAAATTTATAATGCACACTACACAATATGAAAAATATTCACAGCAGGCCAGGCGTGGTGGCTCACGCCTGTAATCCTAGCACTCTGGGAGGCCGAGGCGGGAGGATCACTCAACATCAAGAGTTCGAAACCAGCCTGAGTGAGAACCCGTCTCTATTAAAAATAGAAATTAATTGACCAACTAAAAATATATATACACAAATTAGCCAGGCATGGTGGCGCACTCGGGAGGCTGAGGCAGTAGAATCACTTGAGCCCAGGAGTTTGAGGTTGCTGTGAGCTAGGCTGAAGCCATGGCACTCACTCTAGCCTGAGCAACAAAGTGAGACTCTGTCTCAAAAAAAACCAAAACAAACAAACAAACAAAAATATATTCACAGCAAATAAGCAGGCTGCTAACTTTGTGTCAATTGAAAAGAGAAACTAAATTAATAGAAAAGTACCTCACAGGTAATTAAAGAAATGCAAATTAAGATGAAGCCATTTTTTGCCTATTAAAAACAGCTCAAAAATAAAACTTATAGTAAAAGTTATCTTTCTAAAAACAATTTGATCATAATTATCAAAAAGCTTTTAAAAATCCAATTTGACACAAATAATTCCACTTCTAGGATTTCTACCCAGAGAAAAGTATAAAGCTGTTAGTAGGATGTTAAGTGAACACTATGAAAACAGTATATAAAACTGCAGAGCAGTGTGTGAGACTGTATACAATAAATGTGTTAGACAAAATATACATGAACAGAGAAAAAACTAAAGGAAATAAATTTTTATTAATAATATTTCTAGATAATGGTTATGAGTAACTTATATTCTTCACATTTCTATATTTGGAAAATTTTCTAAAATGAAAAATACTATCTTTATACTCAGTTAAAACAAACCTTAAAAAAAAAGATAAGCAACAGTATAGGAGATGTTACAAAGTAATTTTAAAAATGGCAAAGTAGTGGTATAGAAAATAAACATGTCAGCAACTACAAACACCTAAAGAGAAATAGTCAAGAAAAAAACTTCATGGAGGAGGCTCTTGAAACACAGATAGACTAACAAGGCTATTAAGGAAGAGTTCCATACCCCCAAAATTAACAGGCTAGAAAGAAGAATGACACTAAAATCTTAAGGTAGAAATTCCTTACAGCTTTTCAAGGCTCTTTATCTCACAGGCGCTAAAGAAACTTAACTGTTTCTAAGAGGAAAATAAATAATGTGAACGATGTTATTTTAGGAAAGATTAAGCTGTTTTGAGGGGAAAATAAATTAAGAGGGGTAATTGCTTAGTAGAGTAGAAGGATAAATCAGGTGGATATAGCAACAACCTTTGTGTGTGAGAAGATAGGGACCAAAATAAGGTAATTAGACATGGATCTAATAACATAAAGAATCAACAACCTCTGGTGACTTGCTATACAAAGTGTGAGAGAAGAGATTCCAATTATAACTACAAAGTTTCAAGTGTGGATGAATAGAAGAACAGTTATGTCATTAACTGGAGTGGGAAAAATCAAGACTTGGAACTTGCTTTGTTGGGAGAAGATACACTGTGAGACAAACGTGAGATATGCAAGGAGAAATATCTAATAGGTTACTAGAGACGTGGGAATGGAACGTGAGATAGGTCAGAACTAGATGTAAAGATTAAGAACTTCATTCCATCAATAAATATTGAGACCCTATATATTGTTCCAGGAACTATTGGATTATAGAGGCACAGAAATGAACAAAATTAATGTAATCCACCTCTAAAATCTTACAATCTAGTAATTAGTCAGTTATAATGCAGTGTGATTAATGCTCTGATGGATGAAACAAAAGCAGCATCAGAGAGCAGCAACTTAAGAGTCTGGGGTCAAACAAGGTTTCTCAGAGAAATAATGTTAATATCAAGACCTGAAGAATGAGAGAACATTAGTGTAGCAGTGTGGATACGTGTGAAGGTGGTGGTCAGAGCCCGGAGTGGAAGATGGAGGCATACATTCCATGCAGAGGGAACAAAGAATGTGTTAAAGCTCAGAGTGAGACTGGTCATAGCTAATGCAAGGAACAAACATGTCAAGAGCATAGAGCATGGGGTGGGAGACAAACTTTTTTTCTGAAAAGCAAATACATTGATACAGTTTAAAAACTCAGAATGTAGCAGCAAAAAAAAAAAAGGAAAAATAAAATAAAAATAAAAAACATAAAAATTCAGACATATGAAGAACTAGAGAATTTAAAGCCTCCTACTTATTCCCATTCTCTAGCCACCCAGTTCTCCTCAGAGATAACCAATGTTATCACTTTCTTGTGTAATCTTCCAGAGAAATTTTATACAAATATAATCAAACATATATTCTTTTCTTCTCTCCTCATCTGAAATGTCTGAATTAAGCACTGCAAGGGATGAGTAAAGATGGAGTAACAGGACTTAGTGACTGATGAGAGAGGTGGAGAAGATGGAATGATCGAGCTGATGTTCAGGTTTCTGGTTTGGGCAACTGCTGGTGCCATTCAGACACAGGGAATATAAGCAGAGGTTCAGATTATACAAGAGGAAATGAGTTCCCTTGTGTACAGAATAAATTTAAAGTAAAAACATTAGAGTTGGAAGACATCTGAGAGAACAAATCCAATCTGCTTAATTTTAGAGATCAGAGAAGTAAAGACATTAAATGTCTTGCTGAAAGTCAGAGTTGGTTAAGAAGGAGCTAAGGCTAAAACCTAATTCCCAACTCTCAATCTATAAATACAAGGGTGATGGTTTAAGTTATAAAATCTATGAATGAGGCTGAAGTACTATCCCCATGGAGGATGTCCACAAACAGTAGGGAACACAGGAAAAGAAGTTTGCTAAGGAGAAATCAGTGAGGTTAGTGAGGCAGAAGAACCAAAATACTTCACCAGCACAGAAGCCTAGGGAGATAATTTAAAGATGTCATCAATACATTTGAGATATCAGGAAGAAAAATGGCTAGAACAATGCACTATGAACGATGTGTCTTGATACAGAAGTTGAATGGAGTAGGGAGTGACATTAAGAACTAGCAAGGAAGAATCTTCCTCACATCGGAGACTTACCATGTACAAAAAGGAGGAAGCTATCAGAGATGATGATATTAAGATGACAGAGACAGAGAAAAGATGCTACTAGAAGTCTCTGATGCTCACAAGAACCATGTCAAGTAGTGGTAGAGGGAAACAAATCTGCTTCACCAAAAGAAAAAGTCACTATTCTAGGAGAACCCAAAATTGCTGCAAAGAACAGGTCAAGTCCGAGATACTGAAGGTATTGAGAGTAAATGCCTAAGCCAATATTTTTAAACATTAGTGAAAAACAGTACCAATTTTCCCCAATAATATGGAGTTAAACACTATAATAAAAACATGATCATGGAGCTCAATGAACTATTTTGAGGGAACAAAAATAGCTACCACTTATTCATACCTGTGTCTGAATATCATCCCCTGTGACAATGTTTCCCACAGCCCGCAAAGCAGGAGAAACCACTTTATAATCATTATGCCTGCAACCATAAAAAGAAATGTTATAGCCAACAGTTCTATCCTTAGTCTCTTTTCCTTAGAACCAAAATCCAAAAGAAATAATGTGATATGATTTTAGAGCAGAAAAGTGCCTATTGTGGTTATTGAGAACCTTATCATGATGACAGAATGGTATCCCCTAGATGAACTGTCTTTCCCCTTATTTAATATTTCTGAAAAAAAACTACAAAATTTCCTAGTAATCTTTCCCAGGAATTACCATCCCCTAGATTCCAAGTTTTCTTTCTCATTCTTTAATACAGGTTTCATTCCCTCTTTACTTGGTCTTCTGTGGTTGTTGAGACAATGGAGAATAAATAGATAACATTTATGTAACACTTTTAAGTTATAAATAAAACCCTCCACAAGGCCCTTTTTATGTATTTGAAGACAGATACTAAGTCCTGATTCAGGCTAAATAAGTCAATATCTTTAAAATTTCCTTAAAGGTCTTATTTTCTCTTCCCTTTAATGAGACTGATCACTCCTCTCAAACCTGTGCCAGTTCCGTCACATTTAAGAGCTGATAACTAAAAAGAAATGGTTGAAATATACAGTAGCCTAGAGACTAATGAATGCAAAGGATTACTTCCCAGATTTTGAATGATGTACTTCTGACTCCTATAGCATCACACTGCCTTTAATTCATAACAGCACTACACTATTGATCTGTATCCAGTCTTTGGCCAGCTATGATGCCAGAATTTTGTATTCTGTACATTATACCTATCTAATCCATTCCACATGTCACATTTGGGACAATGTCTTCTAGCATCTAATTTGTACTTCATTTAAATTTCATGTTGCTTATAATTGTACAATTTCCCCATTATGATATCATTCTGTTTTTTTCTTCTATAGTATTATCTAAACCTTTGATTAATACAGTCTCAGTATTTATGCCATGAGTAAGTCTTCCACTCCATCATCAAAGGCATCACAAAGAGATAAAGTAAAATAATATTCAACATCTGACACTAGTCTAAATTAAACTCTAAATGAGACAGATGAAGAATGACTATTTTTAGTGACAAAATGCCTTTTGAAATCCAGTGGCTGATCTCACGTTATCCAGTATGAGCCTGGAACTATATATCAGTTTTCCAAATGTTTCTGCTGAAAGACTGCTAACAGCAGAAAAGAGGTTATTTTATAAGCCTCAAAGAAATAAAACAAACAAAAAGATTTGACATCAACATAAACAAGTAACAAAAAAAAGTAGCCCAAAGCACATTAAATGAGTATAATGCACAATCAATTATTATTCAAGTATTACCAACCAGAGAACTAATATGGGGGGGGAGGAGAGTAGACACACTTTCTTAAAGATATCTTACATCAGCAGCTCCACAAGTCTTCTACATACTCCTGCGTCAATGACTGCTTGAATTTTATCATTGGGTCCATCTGATAGATATGAGAGGGCCCAGCAGGCATCAGCCAGTACATCAGTGTCACTGACAAACAGCAACCAGGAAAGGACATTCAGACAGGGGGAAACCTGTGAAAGAAAGATGAGACTATGAAATTCAATTGAATAAAGCCAGAAGTGTGACGAAATACTAAAGAATGTAACCAAGTTGTTTCATACTTAGTGACTTCTAGGGTGATTTATATTTCTAGAGATGGAGTAGCAAATCACGGTTCCATCTTTGGGAATGCTATCAGTGGTCTTATACTAATTTGATGAGGTAGTCAAAGCCCAAGGAAAATAGTTTCAGGGAGCAAAGGTTTATATACACCAACTCTTGAAATGAGATTCCTTGTCACAATACATTCTTTGTGGACCAAAGACGTAAAGGAATTTTCACAAATGCCAAAGCTAGGAAATTCTGTGTTTTAGATACTTTGTCTCAAACAAAAAATGCTAAGATTTTAGGATGAATTTAGAGCCTTTACAAACAGTGAAAAATGATCCCAAATTAAAACAAAAACAAAACAAAACAAAAACAAAAATAAAACCGTTTCTCTACCAACAGATAAAATTATAACATTGTAAATTTTAACAAAAATTATCCTCCTATTCAATTAAATACTGGCTACCACAGTTTTTAATTGCACTTTTTTCTGCCAATTTCCCACAAGCATAGTCCTTACCTTTGCAAATTCTGGAGGTGGACTCTTCCCTCTACAGAGATTAGACAAAGCCCATACTGCATTCCGGGTCATGGTCAGGCGGTTTTGCTTTGAAAATAACCTATAAGCATGATGGTACAAAGGTAAACTATATAAGAGACATTAATTCTCTGATGGCATAAGATAAATATTAAACTAACGCTTTTGATAAACAGATGTCATCAAATAGCTTTTCCTCAGAACAGTAGAAGTTTATTAATTCTAAAATAATGAATTCAGAATTTTGGCACTGGTATAAGATAGAGTACTTGAAGAAATGATCTGAACAATTAAAGAAGAAAATATCTGGAATGAAAAATAACACCAGGAAATTCAAAATGGTTTCTAAAAATGTACTGCTTTCTGGGGTTGGGGGTAGGGGGAAGGAGAAGAAGAAGGAGGAAGAAACTTACTGCAAAAGAGGAGGAAGGATATTGCAGTCTAAGACATAGTCCCTGCACATGGTACTATCTCCAGCAATGTTGCCAAGAGCCCAGACTGCCTGTGAAAGAATCATTTATTAATGATGGTTATATAGTTTAATTCAATCATAATTCTTTCAAAAAAGATGCCAGTATATAAGAATAATACTTTATAAAACATATAAGAGTTAATCAACATATTATATATAAGAAAATTAACTAGTAACACTCCTAACATCACTCATCAGGGAGTCAAATGAAATAGAAGATAAATAATATTCTAAAGTATATAATAAACAGAAAGAAATGTGAACATTCATGGTATTAAGTTTATAAAAGGGAAGAACTAATTCTTATATTCTTTATCTTAGGGGTCCCCATCCTCAATCCTAAGGAACATTTCATACAGCCCTTGATATATAACAGAGATTCAAATGGCTTACACAGCTGATTAAAAATGTACTGTATGCTTGCTTACAACAGATAACAGTGAACAAAGAATTTAAGAACAATAAAAATGCACATTAACTATACTAAACTTTTGGGGGTAATGGTTGTAATTATGTTAATTATGATGGCTTCGTGGGTATATACACAGTCAAAACTTGTCAAATTGTGCATTGTAAATATATGCAGTTTATATCAATTAAATATTTCAATAAAGCTGTAAAAGAAAATTATATTCATTTAGCAGTGATTTGCCTTCACAAATCTGATAATGTTGGCAGTAATAATAAATTCATGTTTTCTGTCTTTTTCTGCACAAAAGTGGCAAAGACCTGCTACTTCAATCAACACTAGAGATGTCTATTAAAAAAAAACTTCTATTAGTAACTGCATACATGGCCTAAAAAGTACATCTTATAGTGCTTAAAGAATTTCAGATTTAGAAAGGGAAGACTGTTAGATGCTGCAGAAGCTTCATGTGTATTCATAGCTGCTCCCACTACCATCTGAGCTCCACCGCAAACCTCCCCTCCCCGACCCCACCCCTTAATCCCTCCATCCCCCAGCCCACCCCACATCTGTGGAAAACTTGTCTTCCATAAAACTGCTCCCTGGTGCCAAAAGGTTGGGGACTGCTGGTTTTATGTGTCTAGGAGAAATTGTGCCCACAGTCACTAAGAAATTTTCTATTTTGGTTTAGATTTCTAGAACACCCCCTGTGACAAACCATGATTAATCATAGCCAAGTGATTAAACTCAGGTCCTGAATATGAATGAGAGAAAAATTTTATTCTTTTATCTGCTTCTTTATATTTGTTTCATTTTTTACCTGTTCCTGGACATCTTCAAATTCTGAGCTGAGCAATTCTATGAAGATGGGCACAGCTCCTGCCTGAATCACAATCCGGGTCTGAAGAGAATTTCCTGAAGCAATATTTGTCAGTACCCAAGCTGATTCAAACTATAAAGATAAAAATAATTTTCATTATCTTATTAGAATTTAAAAGCTTATTTACTTACAACAATTACATCTTCTGTACATGAAGAAAAGTGTCTGAGATCATTATTTGAACATAAACTATTAGTTGAATACTCTATCAATAATAAAGAAGATTCCCAGAAGAAATACCTCAGCCTAGAATAATATTCAGGGTGTTTAAAATTTTAGATGAAGGTACAGTTGACATGAGACTATAAAAAGAATGAGGGAGTTTCACATGCTGATATGGATGATATGGAATGATCTTCCAAGAAATAAATGAAGGAAAACAAAATGCAAACTGTGTACATTAACATGGTATCATGATATATTTTCTAAAATGGTTAAAAAGGAATATATGCATTAATTTACTTATTGCACATATTATCTCTAGGAGTCACAAGAAACTGTAAACACTTGTTGCCTACATGAAGAGGTCTGCATGACTAGGGAACAAGGATGGGAAAAACTTTTCACTAGAAAGCTTATTTATCTCTTTCGGCCTTGTACCATGTATATTATCTAATTAAAAATATAATTTAAAAAAATTCAATGGTATGCCCTGTAAATCAGGGATCAGTAATAAATCATCAAAAGATGTACCTGTGATTCATCTAAGCTTTTGGATCAATTAAAAGGTAGCTGTCAGGCCAGGCACAGTGGTTCATGCCTGTAATCCTAGCACTCTGGGAGGCCGAGGCGGGTGGATTGTTTGAGCTCAGGAGTTCAAGACCAGCCTGAGCAAGAGCGAAACCTCGTCTCTACTACAAATAGAAAGAAATTACTTGGACAGCTAAAAATACATAGAAAAAAAAAATTAGCCGGGCATGGTGGCGGATGCCTGTAGTCCCAGCTACTCGGAAGGCTGAGGCAGAAGGATTGCTTGAGCCCAGGAGTTTGAGGTTGCTGTGAGCTAGGCTGATGCCATGGCACTCTAGCCCAGGCAACACAGTGAGACTCTGTCTCAAAAAAATAAAAAGGTAGCTGTCATATAGAAAACTAAATCATCAATCTTTGGGGGTAGAGGAAGATGGAAGAAACAGGCAGACAATCTGATTTAGCACAATCCAAAGCTACGCGAATAACAGCAAATTCACAGAAGACATTTAAAGAAAGAGATGTTCAAAGAAAACTATAAAAGTGACATACATGAGCGAGATAAAGTGGTTTGGTAGCCTAACAGCACATTGATATTACAGCAGTATAGAGGCCCACACTAGGAGTATCTCAGTCAAAGAAAAAATATTCCATCTGATAACTTTTTGTTATAACAAAAATACAGAAGACTTGAAAATTAAACCCCTAATATCAGGAAATAAAAGCTCTTCATACATTCATCTCTGTAATTAAATTACTAATGAAAGCAATGCTTAAACCCTTTCCATCTGTCTGAACTAAAACTTTACATTTGTATGGTACTTTATATTTTCTAAGCATTATTCACATATTTTCAGGTGATCCTCATAACAACCCAGAGAAGTAGGGTGTCTCTTGCTTTTATAATTTGTAAATGAGGAAAACTATCAGAAAAAGATCCACCTACTGACTACTGACTTGAGTAATGTTACACAGCCAAAGAGAAGGACTAGATTACAGCCTCCTAATCTGGTATCCTGGGAAACCCAGACATAGTTTCCTCTCTGAAACATACCTATAACACTAGAATATTTTAATTGCTCACAGTTTTGGTATCTAGGATAAGAAATTTCAAATAATAGTAGGCCAGATTACTTATATTATTAAAAAAAACCCAGTTCACATAGAATATAGTTTCTTTTACTTAAGTAAAAAAATTATTCAGTAAACCAGAGTTATGTGATGTAAGTATAAAAGCAAACTGTCCTACCAGAAGGCAGGCTCAAAGTTTAACAAATAGTCATCAGATACTGCAGAGATCAAGTTAAAAGAAATGAAAACTGTGAAGAAAAGCAACCTGGAAAGAGTTAAGTAAGATCAGCATACATATCTACCTATATCAAAGACAAAAACGATTGCAGTGAGATTTTGATGCAACAGAAATGATAATAATAATCTGGGTAGATAAGGGATATATTAATTGTTAGAAAAAAAATCACTTACAATACTAATTGGTGCCAGCATTCTAACTGCCATTTCATGAGTTTAGCACCAAAGATCTCACAGAAAATAAGTGAAAATTCCAGAAGCTACTCAAGTGAATAATATGGAGAAGCAAAATAAATAAGAGTGACAATGATTAAGAAAATGAAAAATGAGTGAATAACAGTCTGAACATGGAAGGCAAAAAATTAGAAATTAATACATTTTAGCAAAAGAATAATATGCCAGAGTTATGTTTATTACCAAGAAGTACACAATGATGATAACCTTTGAATGCAAAGAAGATTTAAGAATGAAAATCAAAAAGTAGTTTTGCTATTATCAGGGACAGAAGTAGATGGATGCATAACTGTAACCAGAGGGACACTGAAAACACAACCATATTCATGCATTAAAAGTATACACACACAGGGTACTGATTACTTTGGCGTTTTCACCTTGTGAAAATTCATCAAGCTATATTTACGAAATTCTCATGTGTATACCCATGTGTATGTTGGTGATATGTATGCATATAGGAAATGTATGAGAGAGGAGGAGTGCAAAAGAGAGAGTTTCCCTCATGACAGGCCTCTGTTAATGTTGGAAGAAGCAATTATCAAATGTATTTAACTGTGTGCTTTTTAAAAACTGGATATACTTTAAACCTGCGGTCCCCAACTCCCAGGCTGAGGACCAACACTGGTTAATGGCCTATTAGGATCCAGGCCACACAGCAGGTGACCTGCAGGCAAGCAAGTGAAGATTCATTTGTATTTACAGCCCCATCGCTGGCATCACCACATAAACCCTGCCTCCTGTCTGATCAGCAGCTGCATTAGATTCTTATAGGAGCACGAACTCTACCGTAAACTGCGCATGGGAGGAATCTAGCATGGGAGGGATCTAGGTCGTGCGCCCCTTATGAGAATCTAATGCCTGATGATCTGAGGAGGTGATGCTAGCACTGGGGAGCAGCTGCAAATACACATTATCATTAGCAGAGAGGTTTGACTGCACAGTAAATGCAATCTGCTTGAATCATTCCAAAACCAGCCCCTAGCTCCTGAGTCCGTGGAATAACTATCTTCCATGAAACCAGTTCCTGGTGCCAAAAAGGTTGGGGACCACTGCTTTAAACTACATAACTTCCCCTTTCTCTTAGACTGTACTTTAAGCTGCATTTCACTGAGATTTGCCATCTTTTTAAAATTTTTTCTTTTAAAAATGTTTCAGCTTTGGATGCTACACTAAAATTTAATAAGAGTTGTGAAATGGGAAAATCCAGAATCAATGGCAAATACAAATGCATAAAGTTAAACATCCCAAAAACTTAATTTAAGTATGTAACCATTGAGACTCAAGAGAAAATCAGAAATCTGAAAAAATGAAAGAAAAAAAAATCTGAGAAACAGTATCACCTAAAACAACAAATGGTGGCCAAAATAATTATAATCTTTACTTCCTTTTCATTGTTTTAAACTGTTATATATTCTTAATATTCCAAGAATGGCACCATACAAAGAAACAACCTATCATGCAGCTATAACTTCTTATAAATTATAATTCCACTATTATTTTTCACTGTCCAGAACTTGCTAAAAAAGGCTACAACTAAAATCTGCACACTGAAGGTTTGATATTTTCTCTCTCCCCTTTCTCAGTCTCTACCTTCTGGTGCTCAGTTCCTTATATAAGGAAAATGAGAATCCAAAGCTGAAGTACTTCTGACCTCCTATCAAGTTTCCCACTCCAGATTGAGGTACGCCTGGTTCCCTTTCTCCATTTGGATCAGGACTCTGTTGCTGGCCACTTTGCCGGTTCCACTCTGGTTCCTAGCAAATGCCAGGCTCACCTGGAGAGCAAGTGAAAAGAAAGGCTCACATCAGAAAAATAAACCCAGATATCAAACTCTGCAGAGAACAGTGCCTGAGTCATCTGAGCAACCTTTGAGGAAAGGCAGAAAGATCAATGAAGATGGGAAAAGACATAGGAGGATGAGGCTTACTGCAGTTTATTACATTAAGCTTTTAGAGGGGACAAGAAAGGCAGAAAACGGAGACTAAGCCAATTTAATTCAAATTTACAACTTTTAGAGGAGTACCTGTCCAATGTTTGTAAGTAGGAGATAATTTACTTATGTCTAGCTATTTTTATAATCTTCTATAAGAAGGTTTGAGAACGTAACATCTCAGCACTACAAAGATGCTGAGAGACTGGACTCAAAGAATCAAAACGAAGTGGGATCACAGGACATACCCATAAACCAGACCAGTCTCATGAAAAAAGGCTCTAGTATATCTGAGACCTAAACATCACTGACCTTGAGAATGCTTTTTAGCTAAATGGCATTGTTTGCTTCTAAAATCCTAGATTCCACCCATGTTCACTTGCAGTTTGAGGGCAAGTGAGTATCAGGTAGCAGTGCCCAGGCATTTTTATATCCCTGGTTTGAGGTACCTAACTGATTTTAGAAGCCAGAAAGAAATTTAAGAGATCCTTTGCTAGGATTCACAGTTCTATGCCTATGGAATGAAGAAATTAAGTTTGTTCACAGGATTTATCCATGAGATTATTTCTCTTATTTATTTCCTCTTAGCACAATATAGTATGACTTAGTTTCTGGAAGAGAAATAGCAAAAGCCCTATTCGAAGATCCACTCTTCAAATTTCTAATAAGTAGGTAGGGGTATTAGGGATAGCTTACACCTTAGTGCTCTCCCAGAGGGAGTATCCTCCAAGTTTTCCAGAGCCACATCTAATTATTTGCAGACATGGCAGAGCAAAAAGTCTCATGGCTTTAAAGTCTCTCTCAATATACTTGCTCCTGCTGTTTCTAAGGTGGACAAAATTACCCATTAGTCACACTGGAGAGAGAACACCATGTTGTGTAAATGTGCACAACAGAAAATCTGGAGACGTCAACTCTTAGATGATAAGTAGGTGGGTTATTTCTAAGTCTTAAGATGGCTGAAGTGAAAATCATGAGGTGGTCACTTCCAGAGGAATCATTTTGCTGTCTTTCAGCCTAAATTATTAATATGCACAAGGATGGAATCTGGGAATTTAGAAAAAATTAGAGATTTCTCAAGGCTTTCATCTTCAGATATGTTGAAATATAAGTTCTGAATCAAAAAATGATGTGGAATTTACATGTGTTAGCCAGAAGAGGGCACTGTCTAAACTGTTAGAACAAGGAGTAAATTCAATCTCTTTCAAATATTCTCATTCCCAGAGATAGGACAGAAACATTTTTTTTAGCACAACAAAATGATAATTTTTCCCTACCTCCCTCTTCCTACAAAGCATTTCAAATGATAAACTGCAGTAAAGCTTCTCATTTGGTCCCTCTGGTTCTCTTGGCAAGTTGCTTAGGGGCTCAGGCTCTGTTCTCTGCAGTGTTGGCTGTCTGGATTTCCTTTTTTCTGAGAAAAGTCTCTCTCTTCCCTTGTTCTCGGGGTGAATGTGATTATTTTTCAGGTGTCTGATGATCCTGGCCTTAGATGGGGACCAGAATTATAATCCAAAAGGCAGCTAGCAAAACAGAATCTTGATTCAAATGAACACAGGGATTGGCAAATGTCAAACTGGAGAAGAAAAACTGATAGGACAAAGAAGTACTCTACCTTTTCTGGATTTCTTATTTTTCCTCTGGAAGGAACTCATCACTGCAACAAAGAGTGTAAAAGAAGGAGAAAAGGGTGCTAGGGGGAAAGGAGAGAAAATATCAAGACAAATCATCAATTCTTTCGAATGATCTGCAATAGTCTGCATAGTAAGGAACCTGGGGACACGAGCTATCATTTACAATAATGCCCCAGTCCCTAAGTGGCACCAGCATTAGAGTAAAGCAAAAGCACACAAATGAGGTGGGGGGAGCTATTTTTATGATTAGCTTGTAATTGTCAAATATTTACTTGGAAAAATAATCACATTTTGTGAACTACTTGGCACTTAACCAATTATTATAGTTGCAGAATCTCTTTAAAGGGCTTAAATCCTTCAGATTAGATCCTACAAATAAATGAGAATTTAGGGATCACAGGTAGGTTAATAATAAAGAGACTAACTCAACTGGCTACTCCAATGAAGTCTAACCACTGTAAAATCACCAGTTTACTAAAAATACAACATTTTTCAGGAAAAAAATAGCATTGTAAAATTTCTAGATAACTCCCAGGATGAGAGTCAGTCGATAGGTGGTTCCTTTTATTGTGAAAATTATTCAACCCAGAGTTTGAAGAATTTCTTCTTGGAATCCCTATATAGTACAGTAGTAAAAGCCTAAATTGACAGTACTAAGCACAGATTCCTAACAAGGTTATCTCGTTGCCAGCTTTTTTGGGGTGCGGGTGGATTAATTAGGACCAGGTTTGGGAATTAGTGAGTCTCTGATCTAGCCCATGTTATGCCATCCCAAGAAAGCCAACAAGTATAATCTAAAACTTCCTCATAATTTTATGTAGCCCACACACAGGTTTCTGTCTATAATGGCTCCACCACTGCAAACATTTCCCTATTAAACACCATAAAACATTTTCGATAATTAAAACTGAAAAGAATTGTGGAGTATAGCCAAAGCCTTTGTGTTAACAAAACTATAAGTTTGCAATGTAGTTGTCAGAAATATTATAAACAAATTTAACTCTTCATATAGATTAAAATAAGTAATAAATTTGTATACAAAAGTTTTCAAAGGGAATTAAGTTATGAGGCAAGAAATGAAAATTGTTCGCACCTGCAGTGTACAATTCTCCTTTCGCTTGAGGAATTCCACAAACCTCGCCACTACTCCTGGTGTGCTGATAACTTCATCAATAGGAGGGTTAGGTTCTGTTTCCCCATAAAATAAAAAGAAAGAAAAAAAAGGAATCCTTTGACTTCAATGCAAGAACTTGATAGCTCAAAATTACTTCATAACAGCCCTCCCTCCATATTTACCATCTCCTTTATGTTGGAAATCTACCCTCAAAAATAAATAAATAAATAGAGTTCAATCACCTTGAGACCAGGTTAGTGTGAAAGTTCTCACAAAAAAAGTAAGTCTTAATATGAAAATGGAATATGGATAGAATTCTTAAATTAAAATTATTGTCTCCACTGTTATAGAAAACCTAGAGATTGGGGGCAGGGGAAGATTGAAAGTCATTCACTGTTAGTGTATACATCCTTCTAGCCCTTTTTCTGTACATGTGTTTTCAGTCCATCTGTTTTTGTTTAATATAAACTGTCTTGAAAGTCAGCATTATGGGATTCTCAGTATGCCTACAGAATTTAATTTTTTACCTGTAGTGATAAGTAGAAGCCAGCAAGAATTCACTAAGACTGACCTGCCAAACTAACCTTGTGTTTTCATTTATGATAATACAGTATCTTAATGAAGTCAATCAATACAAACTTACTGAGTGAATAGAAATGTCATGGACAATCAGATTTATAATTTCAGCAAGTGATTTGATAAAGTTTTTGACAATCTGTATGCAACAATGCCAGAAAATGGCAGTCAGAGCACAGTAATTACAGAAATAACATAGGCAATAAAACAACAGGAATAAACTCAAATTCAGCAAAGGCAATTTTTAAAAATTCATACGACTTCACAAATAAAACCTAAAAATAGTTCACAAATAAAAATGGCAGGAGTTTAGTTTGCTGATAATTCAATAAAATATTACTAAGCCATGACTACAAAAATAACATAACATCTTGGACTACATTATTGGAATACAGTCTTAAGACTTGGAAGGTAGGCTGGGCACGGTGGCTCATGCCTGTAATCCTAGCACTCTGGGAGGCCGAGGTGGGCGGATGGCTCAAGGTCAGGAGTTTTCAACCAGCCTGAGCAAGAGCGAGACCCAGTCTCTACTAAAAATAGAAAGAAATTAATTGGCCAATTAAAAATATATAGAAAATTTAGCCAGGCATGCTGGCACATGCCTGTAGTCGCAGCTACTCAGGAGGCTGAGGCAGTAGGATCACCTGAGCCCAGGAGTTTGAGGTTGCTGTGAGCTAGGCTGACGCCACAGCACTCTAGCCTGAGTGACAGAGTGAGACTCTGCCTCAAAAAAAAAAAAAAAAAAAAGACTAGGAAGATAATCTCTCACCATACGCTACAGTAATAACAACACATATAGAATACTGTATTCTAGTTATGACATTTTTAAGAGGGATACAGGCAAGTGAGAATATATGCAAGAAAGTAGTAAAGTGGTAAAAGGCCTTTAAAAAAATACATTCTGGGCCGGGCGCGGTGGCTCACGCCTGTAATCCTAGCTCTCTGGGAGGCCGAGGCGGGCGGATTGCTCGAGGTCAGGATTCGAAACCAGCCTGAGCAAGAGCAAGATGCCGTCTCTACTATAAATAGAAAGAAATTAATTGGCCAACTAATATATATACAAAAAATTAGCCGGGCATGGTGGCGAATGCCTGTAGTCCCAGCTACTTGGGAGGCTGAGGCAGGAGGATTGCTTGAGCCAGGAGTTTGAGGTTGCTGTGAGCTAGGCTGACGCCATGGCACTCACTCTAGCCTGGGCAACAAAGCGAGACTCTGTCTCAAAAAAAAAAAAAAAAAAAAATACATTCTGTGAGAAAACCATTAGGCTTAGCATGCTGAAAAGAATTAAGACTTTTTTAAAAATAGGAGTATGCAGGTATACCTTCCTTCAAATGTTTAACAAGTTCTCATGCTAAAGGCAATTTTTTTTGTTGTTATCATAGTGGTAGTTTTGTATTCCACTTAACTTTAAGGGATATATTAATGTTTTTTTATATGATGGTTGTTTAGAGTCGCTAATGACTATCAACATTTTAACATGGTTCAGGATTTCTTTTTTTAATAATACATTCCAGAGAGAGGAACAGATCAGTCTCCATGAGTGGATAAACACCAGTTCAGGATTCTTTTTACTTGCCCATGATGACAGCAATTATCAAATACCATTCTATACCAATTATAACAAAAAAAGTAGTTACCCTGCCCACCAATATATCCATACTTTTCAGTGATAAACTGCTAACATTAAAATCAATAATTATTGCTCTTTCAAGTGACAGCTTAAAAGCTGTTATATAAAAAGAATGAAATCTATCAATCTGAATTAACATGAGATCATGACTACTATTCACTATAAGGTCTTTTATAAGACAGCTCAAAAATGAAAGTAATGCTGTTTTCTGGTCCTGCAAAGATTCCACAAATAAATACGGAAATTTAAAAGTTAGGCATGGTTCACACTTACACATATGTCTGTATATTTCTTTTTATTCTTTGATTGATAATCATACTCCAAAACAAATTATCTGTGGTGTGAAAGATTATGAGAAAGTAATATTTTGTAGACAGATGAAAAACATATTCCATATATTCATAGCTCACCTTTTGAAAGCAATTTCCTGAATTTCTGTGTTGCTGAAAGCTGTTGCTCAGGGCTATTAGAAAATATCATTTCAATCATGTCAGAAGTGATGACACCACCCTGGGATCACAAACAAAAAGCAAATATAATAAAGCATTCACCTTAATCCAAAGGTAAACAAACAGATATTATGACCAAATTATTAAGTTAATCATACTTCTCCAGTTACAAAAAGGTAGGACAAACTTTACATATAAAAATCTGTTAGATAATTAGTAATGTAATGAAGCCAAATTCTTTATCTATCATTAAAAAGCTCACAATAGTGAGAAAGCAATCTTGGTAGTAACACTAAGACAAGGAGCTTATTTTTCTTCCTCTCCTCGCTCATTACATGGCTGGCTGTTCTTTGTTATCCACATTAAATGTTAAGTTCTAAAAGAAAGCTTTTTATGACCTCCAAACCACTCTATCTCTACTATATCACCCTACTTTAATCCTATGCCCATCTCTTATCACAGTACCAGATATATTTCTGGGTTACTTGTTTATTGCCTGAGTTCCCCCAGTATACTGTGATCTCCTTGAAAGCTAAAGACCCATCTATCTTACCACTCTACTATTGATGGCTGGCATACAGGAGATACTCAACAAATATTTATTGAATGGGTATAGAGTGGTCCTATATAAATCACAGATTCTGGCCACTGCAAAATTCAACACCTGATTCTTACCTAAAATTTTTATTTTCTTACTTTATTAAAACTTTTCTGTTTCCCACTATAACCTATCCCCAGTATTAGCAGTTAACTTTCTTCTCCGGGTCATTTGCCACAATGTAACAAAGTTCTTATTTCATGAAGGGTTACAATCAACAAAATGAACTATGAAGAAAGTTACACTGAACTGTAAATACTGGATAACTGGTAAGCAATACCTAACACTTAAGAATTCCCATGGGGAATATGAAGCATTCTGCTCAAGAGTCAGGAAAGTAACTATTTTCAAAGTTCAAATAAAGATCCCTGTATGATTTGTTATGAATATGCTTGCATATATATACATATATATATAATCAATATCTTTTTCTTCCCTCTCTCATCCTTTTTAACAAGCTGTAATGACTTGACATTATACTATTTTAAGTGTTGTTACCTTTACATCAGTAGTATTTAAGTCACAGGCTATTCAAGAGGAGGAATGACCATCACCCAAAGATTTTGCAACCTCTTCTGGGGAAAGTGTACAGATGCTTCTCAACTTAAAATGAGGTTATATCCCAATAAACCTATCTTAAGTTGAAAATATCCTAGGCTGGGGGTGGGGAGGCAGGCGCAATATATGTAACCTTAACATTTGTACCCCCATAATATGCTAAAAAAATAAATAAAAAGAAAGAAAAAAAAAGAAAATATCCTAGGTTGAAAATGCATTTAATATACCTAACCTACCAAACATCATACCTTAGTCTAGCCTACCTTAAACATAATCAGAACAATTACATTAACCTACAGTTGAACAAATAATTTAACATAACGCTAATTTATAATATAATGTTGAATATCTCATGTCATTTCTTGAACACTGTACTGAAAATGAAAAACAAAATGGTTGTATGGGTACTCCAAGTATGGTCTCTACTGAATACGTATCACTTTGGTACAATTGTAGAGTCGAAAAATCCTAAATCAAACCATCATAAGTCAAGGACCATCTGAACATTTTCAGCTGCGAAAAAGAAAGTTACATCATCTTAGGTGAAGTTACAATTTTGTTGTCTTTGAGACTAAATATGGTGTAAGGAAATGTGTATGGATACCAAATTGACAAGGAGTAGACTCTGATGGTTAATTTTATGTGTCAACCAGAGTAGGTTACAGAACCCAGTTATTTACTCAAACACAAGTCTAGATGTTCCTGTGAAGATATTTTTTAGATTTGATTAACATTTAAATTAGTACACTTGAATTTAAACTGCCTTCATAATGTAGGCTGGCCACATCCAATCTGCTGAAGGCCTTAGGAGCAAAGACTGAGGTTTCCTGAAGAAAAAGAAATTGAGCCTCAAGACTGCAATATTAACTCTTACCTAACCTTACAGCCTGCAAGCTTACCCTGCCCTACAATTTCAGACTTGCCAAGTCCCAATCATGTGGGGCTACTTCCTTAAAATAAATCTCTCTCTGTCTCTCTCACTGGCTCTATTTCTCTGGAGAACCCTAATACTAATACGATCCATAAGATACTTTATATTCATGTAACACCATTTTTTTAAAAATTGGGAAGATTGACTTTCTTAGAGGACTAGAAGAATTTATCACAAAATGATAGTTTTGGCAATAATGTCTATATCAATTCCAAAGGAAATTATACTCTCCTAACTCCCAAAGAAAACTGGTTCATATAAACTGGAGATCTATGCAGGGAAAGAAATTAAAAAAACTATAAAATACCATGTATAATATGTCACCATTTACAAAAAAAAAATAAGGAAAGGAGAACACTTTTCTTTAACACACAAAATGCTCTCAAAAAAAAAAAATAATAATCAAATAACGGTGGTTGCCAGTGGGGGGAAAAAAGGTTAATGAGATAAAGATATATATTTTTCTTTTTTAAAAAACCATGCATACATAAATATATGACCTATTTAAAAATTATAAAATTAATTATAATACACTGAAAACAGGTCTGGTCCATATAAATAAAGCATAATTTTTTATCTCTTTTGTAACTTAAAAAAATTACAAAACGGTTTTACAACAGAAAATTCCAACAGTTCTGATATGGAACTAATTTTTTAAATCATACAAATGTCAATTTTGTCAATGAAATGAGTAATAAAGTGTGATTTCATTTAAAGTATCTCTTATTATTCAACTTTTGAGGAATAATGTTATAATGACTTTTATAAGTTTTTAGCTGAATTAATCTTTATAATTTAGTCAATTTTGTTTAATTGAAAATTATCCAAAATATAGTAAATATTTAAGGAACCATAAGAGTAAGTATGTGGCTTCTGTTTAAAAATAAAATGCCAAGTACTTTGTAAAGCCATCTAAACTTTTTTTTTAATTCAAAAGGAGATCTATATTTCATATCTTCATCAGAAAAACACTAAGACAGTTCATTATCTTACTTACTGGTGCCATCTCCATGTTATTAATCTGGGCCTCATGAAAGCCTCCATCTGACATAACTTCTTCTTCTGTTTCTTCTTCTGCTGTAGCAACATTTCTCCGTTTAAATAACTGAAATATAAAAGACTATTAGTAATATAATTCTAACACAAGGGAGTTCAATAGCCAAACACTAGGCACCCCATTTAAAAAAAAATAGGGATGGAGCTCTTTGAAAATCATTTTCAAAATTCTAAATCTTGTACTGGCTCCAGCCCTTCCTGATGAGGAACTATTTCAGATTTCTCCATAATCTTTTGAATATAATTAACTATCACAATATACTATACCCATACTTGACAAAGCAATACTTACTAAGAAAGGCCTGACACTACATGCCATAAAAAAGGTAAAGTTGGAAAAAGGAGCTGAGGCAAACTTGGCCATTTCCTTCATCCCTTTATGTGAAGTATGCAACAGGATAGTCTTTACAATACATCAGGGAAAATAAGGATAAAAACTACACCCAAATGACTTAATACTTCTCTCCTAAGCTTCAAAGATAGTGGTATGAGGCTTCTGACCTTCCCAACCTGTCCAGCAACCAGTGACAAATGACAACTGCTTGAACAATACCTTTAAAGCACCCATTAATTTGTGTAGGCAATGGAGACTAGTTCCCCCCAAAGTCAGCCAATAAAGGTGATTTCCATTATATCCTTAAGAGACCTGGGCAGTACACTTATTCATCAAGCTATCATCTATCATGGACAAACAGTACTTATCCTCCCCCGTCCTAAACAACTAAAAGGCAGACAAAATACATAAAATAATGTTCTTCAGCCACTGGACAACAGGAAGCACAAGGCAGTGATCCCTCAGAAAGAAAAAGAAAAAAAAAGCCCCATGATTGCCTCAGATTATTGCCTAGAAGGAGTTTCCAGGCTGCAGTGCAGGGAAGGTAAACCCAAACAGAGCTTAGACTCCTTGAATTAAGGAAACAGAGTTCAGAACAGGAGCCCAAGACACCAGAAATTCACAAGGCAGGGAATAACACAGAAAAAATGCCAAAGCCCTACAGAAGGTTCCCTTTGAGTCTTAAGTTAGTATTAATCAGTATGTAATCACGTTCTTCCAGAAGACAGAAGCGGAGGGAGTACTTCCTAACTCATTCTATGAGGCCAGTATTATCTTAATATCATAACCAACTACCAAAGGCCTATATAAACAGTTTTACCCAATACATCATTTGCAGTTATCAAGAAAAATATCACAAGACATATTAAAAGATAAAAAACAGTGTAAAGCGACAAAGCAAGCATCAGAACCAGATTCAGATATAGCAGGGAGGTTGGAATTATCAGACCAATAATTTAAAACTACGATTAATATGCTAAGGGCTTTAGTGGATAAAGTAGACAGCATACATGAACAGACAGACAATGTAAGGAGAGAGATGGAAAGTTTAAGAAAGAATAAAAAAGAAATGCAATGGATCAAAACCACTGTAACAGAAATGAATGCCTTTTATGGGCTTATTAGTAAAATAGACATAGCTAAGTAAACAATCTCTGAGCTTGAGGATAACTCATTAGAAACCTCTAAAACTGAAAAGAAAACAGAAAAAGTACTGAAAAAAAGTAGAACAGAATATCCAAGAACTGTGGGACAGCTACAAATGGTATCACAAACACATAATAGAATTACAAGAAGGAGAACAGAGGAAAAAACAAAAGAAACATTTTATACAATAATGAATTAGAATTTCCTCAAATTAATGTCAGATACCAAACCAAAGATCCAGAAAGCCCAGAGAACACCAAGCAGGATAAATTCAAAAACCATAAAAACTAAACAAACAACAGAACACACACACACAAAAAAAAAAAACCCACATTTACAGATATCATTTTCAAACAACAGAAAATCGAAGATAAAGAAAAAAACTCCGGCCGGGCAAAGTAGCTCATGCCTGTAATCCTAGCACTCTGGGAAGCTGAGGCGGGCAGATCATTTGAGCTCAGGAGTTCGAGACAAGCCTGAGCAAGAGCAAGACTCTGTCTCTACTAAAAATAGAAAGAAATTACTTGGACACCTAGAAATATATAGAAAAAATTAGCCGAGCATGGTGGCGCATGCCTGTAGTCCCAGGTACTCGGGAGGCTGAGGCAGTAGGATTGCTTGAGCCCAGGAGTTTGAGGTTGCTGTGAGCTAGGCTGACGCCACAGCACTCTAGCCTGGGCAATAGAGTGAGACTCTGTCTCAAAAAAAAAAAAAAGAAACCTCCTAAAAGAGAAAAAACACTGTACCTATATAAGAGCAAAGAGAAGAATTATTTCCAACTTCTTAAAACCACACAAGCCAGAAGAAAGTCAAATATTTAAAATGTTGAGAGGAAAAAAAAAAACACCAACTTACAATTCCATATCTTATGAAATTATCCATCAAAAATGAAGAAGAAATAAAGACCTTCTCAAAAAAACAAAAACTATTGCAAGTACAACTGCTTTGCAAGAAATGTTACAAGTCCTTTAGCGAGAAGGAAAATGATATAGGTCAGAAACTTGGATCTACATAAAGAAAAAAATATCAGAAAATGAATAAGTGAAGGTAAAATTAAACCTTTTATTTTTCTTATTATTAATTGACCTAACAGTTAATGCTTTTTAAAAATAATAACAGCAAGAATACATTTGATTATGTATGCTTATGTGTATATATCATATATATATAATCACATATGTTTCTGTATAAGTGAAATAAATAAGAGCAACAATACCAGGGATGGAAGGGACAATAGGAATATCTTATTATAGGGTACTCACACTACCAGCGAAAATGTATAGTGTTATTTGGAGGTGGACTTGTATTCATTGTAAATGTACATTGCAAACTCTAGTGTGCACACTAGACAAAGTAAAAAAAATAAGTACACAATGCATATACTAAGAAAGGACAGAAAATGCAAATCATATAAATGCTCAATTAAAACCACAAAGGCAGAAAAAGAGTAGAAAACAAAACTTGGAACGAAAAACAGGGTTAACAAATAGAAATCAGTAACAAATATGGTAAGTATTAATCCAACTATATCTACCATCACTCAGAATGTCAACAGTCTCAGTGTACCAATTAAAAGACAGAGATTGTCAGAGTGGATCAAAAAACAAGACCCAACTATATATTGTATACAAGAAACCCACTTTAAATATAAAGACACATAGATTATTAATAAAAGCAAATGGATGGAGAAAGATATGCCATATTAACACTAATCAAAGTGGGAGTAGCTATAATAATTTCAGACAGAGCAGACTTCAAAGCAAGGAAAGTTATCAGGGATAAAGAGGTGTACTACATAATGATAAAGAGATCAATTTTCCAATACATAACAACCCTTAACATGTATAAGCTTAATAATAAAGTGTCAAAATATGTAGGCAAAAACAAATAGAACTGCAAAAAGAAATAAAGGATTTCACTATGATAGTTGAAGAATTCAACACCCCTCTATCAGAAATGAATAGATCAAGCAGGGAGAAAACCAATATGGACATAATTGAACATATTATTAATCAACTGGATATAATGAATACCCATAGACTAATTCATGCAAAAACAGCAGAATACGCATTTCTAAGCTCACATGGAAATTCAGTAAGTTAGACCACATTCTGGGCCATAAATGCACCCTAATAAATTTAAAACATAGAAGTCATAAAATGTCTGCTCTCAGACCTCCATGAAATTAAATCAGTAACAGAAAGGTAGCTAAAACAAAATCCCCAAATACATGGATATTAAATAACAACTCTAAGACCAATATATGGGTCAAAGAAGTAATCACAAGAAAAATTTTAAAATATTTTAAATTAAATGAAAATAAAAATACACAACTTGTCAAAAATTTGTGGGATGAAGCAAAAGCAGAGCCTAGGGGGAAATTTATAGCATTAAATGCATACAATAGAAAAGACAAAAGATCTAAAATCACCCAATCACCTCAGAAAACTAGCAAAAGAAGAGCAAATTAAATCCATGATATCAATGAAATTAAAAATAGGAAATCAGTAGAGAAAATTCAATGAAACTAAACACTAGTTCTTTGAAAAGATCAATAAAATCTATAAGACTCTAGGCAGGCAAACTAATAAAAAGACAAAGGACACAAACACTAGTATCAGATATGAAAGAGGGGAAACCACTACATATCCCATGAACAAAAGAATACTATGAACAACCCTATTGTCACAGATTTAATAACCTAGATAAAATGAACCATTTCACTGAAAGACACAAAACTATCAAAACTCACACAACATTCGGAATAGGCCTATATTAAAGAAATTGACCAATAATAATGTTCCAAAACAAAAAACACCAGGCCAAGATGGGTTCACTGGTGAATCTTATTCAACATTTAAGGAAGAAATTATACTAATTCTCTACAATCTCCTATAGAAGACAAAAGCAGAGGACATACTTCCTAAACATTCTATTAATATAAAGGCCAGTATCAGATTAATATCAAAACCAGAGACATTATAAGAAAACTACAGACCTCTCTGACAGACACAGATGCGGAATACTCAACAAAATATTAACAAATCATACTCAACAATGCATAAAAAGAATTATCCACCATGACCAAGTGGAATTTATCCAAGGTGTACAAGACTGGCTCAGCAGTTAAAAATCAGTTAATATAATCCATCATATCAACAGGCTAAAGAAGAAAAATCACATATAATATCAATAGATACAGAAAAAGCATGTGACAAAATCCAACACCTATTCAATATGATAAAAACTCTCAGTAAACCAGGATTAAGTGCAAATTTATCAACTTGATAAAGAATATCTACAAAAAGTCTACAGCTAACATCATACTTAAATGGTAAGAAACTAGCTTTCCTGCTAAGAACAGGAGCAACACAAGGAAATCCCCTATTACCAGTCCTTTTCAACACTGTACAGGAATCCCTAATGTAATAAGAAAAGGAAATAAAAAATATACTGTTGAGAACAGAAAAAAATAAAACTTTTTTCTCAGATGACTTAACTGTCCATATAGGAAATTTTAAAAGTACCAACAAAAAAACTCCTGGAACTAATAAGCAACTATAGCAAGG